AGGGGTAATTAAAAAATGTTATAACAAACAATGCTAATCTAGTCCACTAATTACCTGAAAACCAGGTAATCTACAGAAGGTGTCATTATAGAAAAATGCAGTAAATGCATTGAATAAGTAATTTATTCAACGGTAACAGAAATAGGTATTTGTGCATCTCCAGTCAAATATTGAACAGCTTTTCGATAAACGTGTTTACATAATTAGTCCTTGATCATTATACATGGCCTATTGTGTTTAACAATAAATGAAGAGAATATGCAAAACTGAGAAGGATAGATACATCGTTGGTTTCACTCAAGGAGATCATGTAGCAGTGTGTATTGTTGGTGGTCTAACCAATTGCAATAACACTGAAATATAAATTGACTACAGAGAGGAGCCTTACATTAGGTAATGATTCGTTTACAAGATGGCCACGATGTTCCAATGTTTCGCAAAACAAGTTTTAATTTTTATTCGATATTTTTAAAATCCCTGTAGATATTTTTTATTTCCATATAGAATCTAATTGTGTTCGCAACAACGCAACTTTTTTCACACCAAAATTGTATCTCTTACCGTTTTCAAAATCCCCATGTAAATAAATGTGACTTTTATCTGGGATACAGGGATGCAGTTTCGGTTAAGCGCGAAAAAAGTTACTATTTCGGCTACAGTTAGATTCTGTACTTATCGAATTCAAAAATAAAGCATCGAATAAAAACCACCAATCCCATTTTTCGAAAAATTTAAACATCGTCTCTATGTTGTAAACATTCGTTATCAAATTTGTTAGTTTCATAGCGACTACACCCAAGGGAATGATAACGAAGTTTTTCTAGGCCTTTTAGTTTTATTGTAAACAAAATCTGTAGTGCACGTGTTATTTTTATGTGGGATACCCTGTATATCGGGATGAATTTATAAAAATTAGGTATTGTTTTACCAACTTTTGTAACTAAAAGAAATTAGTTTTGCGAAAGTTATGACTATCCAGATGTCAATGTGCATCAAGATACCCTACTAGGGACCTATGACGTTAAATTTGCACTTGTCCACTGGTGATATGGCAATATTAGTAGCTTGACGAAATAAAAGCTCGTCCTAATAAAAATTGAACTTAGGTGACATTAGTTTTCATATTTACAACCCTCATTGTCAATTTGAATTTTGTAACAAGTAGAATACAATTTGCTGTGCTTTGGTAGCATAATAAAGATACCTAATTAAAAAGTTTTAACGTTTCATAAATCATTTGAAAATTTTTAATTTTTCAAACTGTTAATTGTTAAAGTCGATACAGTCGTGATGTAGAATGAATAAAACATGTACGTACGAATCCAGTTTTGTATGATTATGTGAAAATCTGTTAACCTAAACCGAAGTTACATTCAATTCCTTAGAGAGATGTTCTTCTTCCCCCACCCCTCATATTTTATGAGCTAGAGTAATATGTGCTACATCAAAACGATGCAAAATTGATACAAGATTGCTATGCATGTATTTTTTATGCATGTTTGTTAGGTATATTTTAGGAAAAAAGTCATTTTTCTACTTAACCATGAATCGTACGCCCTCTAGCGGCGAAGCTATAAACTTGAAAATAATTTCCAGCGATTTCTCTTGGCCACTTTTGTTTGTTAACAAACCACACTACAAGAACACGGAAATAAAGTCAACCCGGCAACGTTTAAAAATTGCCACCCGAATGACTATTCTCTCCAAAACTAAACAAGATCCCGCTTAAATTTGAAAAGTGGCACGTGATCAAACATCTAAGGCAAGGCCCCCTTACGTTAGTTATAAACAACGCTATGACCTGAAGCACAGTAGGGAAGGAACGTTAAATAAAACACTGAAATTGGGAAAAGTTTGTTTAATAATGATCGTAGTTCAAAATCTAAGACTGAAACACACACAAAATATAAAATTCGGTATACAAAACACAAATACAATATAAAGAAATGCAAAAATTACTACCTGCATTAAATAACACAAAGTAACAACAAACAGTTATGGAGCGACGCGTTCACGACCGCCATTCAAGACAAGATGCCAAACGTAACCCCCGTTCGTGCTTTCTAGGTGGCGCAGGCAGCTTAAGTATTTGATAACGAAATTACAAAAAAACATTATTTTTATTGTTGTAAAATTAGACTAAAATTGGTCGCATATGCGTCCCTACTGAACGCTTCAAATTCTATTTGATCTGCAAAGTTATCACGAATGTATCCCTAGTAATCGCTCCGCTGCACGTAGTGGTGCTCAACGTTGTGTAGGTCTTTTGAAACTAGCCAGTTTATTAGAGATTTACTTTGCTCAAAAGTCGAAATACGTTTCGTGTGCTGTGAACCCTTTATAGCCGCAGCCGCAATATCGATAAATAATAGTCGTAATAATCTAATTTAGTCGCTATCTATCTTGTCTAGTTCTAATTATTTTAGCACACAATGTCACATCAGGATAACCATTTTGTATTATACTATGGTATAACTGAACTCGTGCATGCGAAATACTCAATGAACATTTTAGTGAAAAAGAGAATACAAAACACAAATGGGAGATATAGATAGCCTATCTTAATGGAAACTGATCTTTTATCCTCTACTTGACAGTCGTGTAGTTTTCATCAAACTTTGTAATAATTTCTTAGTGCACTTACGATAGTTCTTCTTGCTTCAGAAGTTGAATTCGTGGGGAAGACTTTAAAAAAGGGGTCATCAGAACGAGAAAAGACCCCCCCCCCCCCCTTCAAACATTATGCGACCCAGCCCTGAAAGGAAAAATGCATTACTTTCGGAACGCACCCTGTATAATAAACTTGGGAAAGGAAAGAAATGTTCCATAACCTTACACAACGCCAGCGGCAAGACGGGTAACAAAGGTGCCTTACATAAGCAAGAATTGTCGATCTTTCAGATTTTACTGTAAGATACACTTCCTTCTCCCACTCCCAACCTCTGATTCTAAACCTCGTGAAAAGATATTTCAACTGAAATTATTTAGTTTCCAAATGGGGACGAATGGTAAATCGATATAGACAATGGGGACATCCTGGCTTCATTTTTTATTTCTGATCTACAAAGTACATTAAAAATAAAAAGACCCCTGTCTCCTCAATTTTGATTTGCGAGTAAAATAAACCGATAATAAATTATTGAAGACCTGTGTTTTTAGTCCGAATTTGAAACGCTTCAGTCTAAATACGTCACAAACCTACAACCAATCACGTAGAAGTGAGCCGGCAACCTTGCGCGAGGGTCTGGCGTTTGTGGGATTTAACGTTTTAAGAGGCATGTTTAACTGCATCTAACGCGAAAGTATTTTTAAATAAACTTTTACTGTCCAAAAAAATGTTTTATGGTTTCAGGTACACGCTTATTAAATTAGAACTGCGGAATTCAACTATACTGTAAACCCCCATTAACCCTTCCCCATATATTCTTTAATAATTGGAGATTATGCTGCGTGCCACTTGCTACATACATGGATATGATAATTTCAAATTATTAAAGAATCTATGGGGAAGGTTTAAATATTTTATCGATTTATCATTTCCATTGGCGCGCAGACTTAGCAGCAAAAGTTGAGAAGCGATCTTGGCGTACCCCATACTCACGAGCAGAGTTACTTCTATGTCAAAACGACGTTTCGCAGTACTTTCGAATCTGGGTAGCAGTCGGTGTTAGAACTAGCGGTTCTTTTTATACACATATGGGAAAGTAAATTAAATAACAACTCCCAATTTTGTGCGTAAGAACAAACGAGAACGAGAACAAATAAAATATATATTACGCATACAACCAGGCGATATCAGGGAAACCTTCTTCGGGACAAAAACCCTGTCATGACCCACACAAATACACGAACTAAACTCGCAAAAAGAAAACAAAAGAAAATTACAAAACATATTAAATTATCTCTCCATGTATATTCGCAACAACTTTTCTTAAAGAACCTTTGGACCTATTAAATACGTCTTTTTCTTTTAGAACTTGCAAAATAACGAATAAGATTACAAATAAGTTGCTTACTTTTTCTTGGTAAACCCGATGGCATTTTTGGGTTATACGAGTTTTGGCGCAGAATATCGCAGTGAGAGTTATGCTTCTATAACTGTTCGATATGAAACTAACGGATTTTTTATCATCTATATCGATCGCCAATAAATATGTAAATAACTAACAAATGTACAATAATAAAATATCACAGTAGAATACGAACAGCAGAACTTAAAACGTATAGACCATAAACTTTAATTAAACAAATGCAACAATTAATGACTAGCTAATTGCGAAATTAAGTATTTAAGTATTCATCTACGGAATAAAAACAATGACTTAATATATGTCTCTTTATAGGATTAAAACAATAAAATGTTGAGTCCCTGACATGACTGGAGAGAATATCGTAAAGATTCACTTGATGATGATGCAGGAAAGCCTGAAGTAAAGGGTTCTCGTATCATTAGTCCCTCCAGTGTTGTATTTATGGGTGCTTCCATTTGTCAGTACCTACCGAGGATTTTTGTGTGTAATTCTTATAGTGCACAGTAAATCAATATAGAGGGCAGAGACACGATTTGTAATTTACGAAAAAAATGTACTTAAATACCTCATCTTGAATTATTTCATCGTGATTGGAACTAAGAAATTGATTTCTAAAATTGATGTTTATTACGATTTAAAACGATTAAAAATAGGACACTTTACGTATCCGCACTTTCCTTTGAGGTGGAGGGTGTAAAATCACCTAAATCGAGAGCCAGAATCGAGTCGTTTGCAAAGCTCCCTAGATTGAGAATTACCCTTTTTGATTTCTTGGACAACAAATATTTAGATTAGACTAAATTGCTTTCTGTTTATTTTGTTATTGCATAATATATTACTTCAGATTTAAGGTACATACAAGGTTTTTTGCCAAATCTAGAGCGCTTGTTTTTCTAAAAACTGTTGATGCGCAAATATTAATGTTTATTTAAATTAAATTACTTATTTAACATGCGATTTTATTTATAGAGCAATATGGGCACAATATTTAGCTTACGATCTCGAAGGAAGCAAGACACTTATTTATCCCTCGAAATAGCGGGATTCGACTTGAAATTAGTGCACGCTACGTCTAACGGAACCGACGTCGTTCGCATACCAACTACCTTAGATGATAAAAAGTGGCATCAGATTGCCATTGGGTAAGTTATAACGCAATTACTTTCGTTTTGTTTGTAGGAATACTAATATATTACCATGTAATTGAGTGTCTTTTTCGACTATTAAGGAGCTTTTTTAGATTAGTTTCGCTAACTTAATTTTGGTTTACTTTAACAACGCTAACTGGATTGTAACTTTGCTAACCCTCCTTTTTTGGAAGCAAGATGAGAAATTGATTAATATTAGGAACTATTACATGTTGGGTAGTTAAGTTAAAAGCTGCTTTCCGAGTGTGAGCACGTAGCGATAATTGGATCATTAAAACTGTTATGAGACTTTTGTTCCAGAAAATTAGATAGCCTTGGCTTGAAAGCTTACCCATAAAAAGATATATTGAATTTGAAGCTTTTAATTTTGCTGATAGCTTTCCCACACTTTTATCGTGCGCTTTTAATTTTCTACTCTATTTCTTCTAGCATACGGGACGACAGTGTTGTCGAAAGTTACATTGATTGTCAGTGGTCTAGAACAGACATAATAAAGCAAGATTCAATAGACATTCCAGAAGACTCCGACTTGATAATAGGATACCTATTTTCCGTAAGATAAAAAAGCTCCGCATTCCGAGATGTTTAACTTAGAAAGTTTGCAGGGCGACTTAGAACAGATGTCGATAGTATCAGATCCCTCCATGGTGAGCTTGCAATGTTCGAACCTTAAAACTCCAATTATTGATCCAACTGTGAAAGACAACGTGAAAGAAGAAAATGTTATAAAATCTGTACGTGAACACAAAAAACTTCCAATTGTCCATCACAAACGAAAAATTCTATAAAGCGCTTAATACAATCTGTAACTAATATAAATCAAATAAGTGTTCTAAAACCTCTACTGCTCTAAATGCTTTACAAATCATGCGCAATTGTAAATGTATTAAATTTATGATTACATAAAAAAACTATTGGAAATGTTCAGTATTATATAGGGGCTATTAAAATGTGTTAGTGAGTAAACATGCTATTACAGGAAATGAAATATACGTAACGCAGTAAATCGCGCAAGACTTAATAATTTGATATAAAACTTTGTAAAAATGTGCTATAATTGGTGTACTTTCTAGTCCAATTGTATGTTGAAGAGCTAGAGAATTCTTTAATATGAGATGTTGTAATTTTTGATTGTACTATTATTTCAGCTCAAAATCAAATATATGTAAATATACACGAACCAACAATGAGTTTTAACAGACAAACGGTAATGCATGGGACTCTAGAAATTCTATTGGTCCCATCGAAATTCAAGCAACGTTATATCAATCAAATTACATTATATTATGAAATTTGTTATTCTATTTAGTACCTGCAGGACAATAGACACTTGTTAAAACTCTACACATGATCTACAAATTTATAAAAAGAAACTATATAGGTACAATGATAGACACAGTACAGCTTAGTTTGATTAGATGCCGGAAGACAATAAGATTCTAAGGAATGTAATTTATTAAATAAAATTTCCTTATTACTGATATAATATTATTTAAGGCTAATAGAATAAATAATTTTTGTATAGTTTATATGTAATACTTGCCATTACTGTATGCAATAATACATAATTAAAGTATTTTTAATTTATTCTCCTTACCTGCGTTACACGTCAGTTTAATTAATTGACGGCTTCAGACGGCATTAGGTAGTGCTCATGTAGCGCTTCGTCTGGTGAACGCGCCCATTGTCAAAATAGCCTCCCAATACTTTGATTTCAGGTACGGATTACGGATTAGACTTGATCGAGGAAATTGATTAAGATCTACAATCAGCTCAACATTCTTCTACTTCAATTTACGGTAAGCCAAAATACATGTTTGATAATAAATTAGGGCAAATGATAATAATAATAATTTGATATCACCGCACGTACAGAGGGTAGGGTAATCACACCGAGAAATTAATGCAGCGGAAGCGGTAGAAAATACATTGAAAATGTGGGTGGTACGGATCAAATTTTGAAATGTTTGGTCTTTTTTAAAATTCGACGTCGAAGTTGACTTTGCAACATTGAATTATTGTGAACCCACCAAGATTACCCGAACCGAGCTACCTAAATAACCTACTACACTTCCAATTTATTGTAAGCTTTGAATATAATTATATTCAAAGTTGTAAGGTAATGTTTGTGTGTTCACAATGAGCTTGTCATGGTCAACTTCGACGCCGAATTTTAAAAAATTATCAAAGTTTTCCTGTGAGATCGAAGGGACTTCAGCGCATTTTTGTGTGGCAGATCAGTACTCTAAAAAGCCAGTTTTGACTCCACCGTAAGGCGGAAATAAGATCTTTTAACGTCCTTGGTTTGTACCCACTTTTGACGTCCCGTTCACCCGCAATTCGCCTTTGAAGTTTTGACTCCACCCTCCATTAACGTCTTGTCGGGAGATACCACAGTTCCTTTCAGAGCCGTCTTTAACCAATTGGGGGCCCTAGGCACAAAAATGCATGGGGCAACTTTGTATGGAAGATACGGAATTCAGAAAAACGATCTCATTAAAATCAATAAATATGGATATCGACAAAAAACTTGTATAATGTTCCTGTCGCTCTTTCTATAATCCGCTTACATTTTTATATTAATCCGCACTTGCAGCCGGTCTAGGTCTATTTGACCAAGAGCTAGCGTATAAAGGAATATCATACGTCTGTTGGGTGGTCAAGCGTCAGTTCTATTTTTAAGTATTTTTCAAATTTTGACAACACAACAAAAACATTAATACAATTAATTGATAAATTTTTTTTTCAATTTTTGAAAAATTACATAATATATACTACCAAGCGAATAGACAACGAAAAACCTCTGTCAATGTGCTAGCGCCCTATTATTTTTTCTCTCCATTATTTTAAAATTGATGGCAGATGTTTATTAATAAACTTTAGTCTGAAACTACAAAACTCCTAGTCTTCACCACAACCCAAATTGATTGATTAATTGACTTTCTTGTAGGCCTTCGGTGTCGCATTTTTATTAGTTGACAGTTTTTCTCGTCTAATTGCTAGGCAACAGATTTTCACTCGGATTTTCATTACCTAAACAATCCAAATTTACTCGGTAAAATACAAATCTCTTGTGCAATTATAAGTGATAAACGCTGAAAAAATTCCTTCCTTGAGATTAAGCCTCGCCATCATGGTGAACCAAATTCAAACAAAGTATAACAATAGTTCATAAGGTAAAGATCTAGTAGCGACACAGACGTAGGAACGGACAGACGGACGGACAAAGTGTGCATTTTTTTTTGTCAAATTGCGCTTGTACAAAATCTGCTGACGGAACGAGTTGTATTATTCAAGTTTTTAGTACACTTTCACTTTAAAAAAAATAAAAAGTGCACTTTGTGCTCTTGATGTCTGTCTCTGCCTGAGTCACAAAGGCTCCGGAACTACACCACCTACAGACAGATTGACATTTGGGCAGAAATTAAAAATTATTTCATATTTGTATTCACGTTAAGGGATGAAATGTCCATAAGGGCTATTAAAATCGAAAAAACAAATTTGAAAGTGATGTCTTCGCCTCTTGCTCACAAGTGGTGTAACGAATTTGTGGTTTTTTATTGGTTTCAGAATTTTATTATTAGTTTACGACCTTGGGTATTCCAGCAGCTCTTCATAAATGTATACTATCAAACATTTGTTTGATTTTAGAATTCCTACCGTATCGATATTGTGATGTGACAAATATAGTGAGAAGAATAATGCGAAAAGTAGCTATGTAGTAATTGTCTCTGCCTGAAAGTTTGTAGAAATTCATTTTTATTTGATACTAGCAGACCCACGCATTCTGTACAGCCTATCAGTTAATGCCCCGTTCCCGGATAACACATAATCTCGGTTTCTGCGGCCTCGTCTGGTCTAAATGTTCCGCTTCCGAACGGGACATATGGTCTACACAGCAGTTGCGGCAGCAGTTTTGGAAGAAGTGGAGTAGAGATTATGTCCAAGAGCTGCAAAGGCGTAAAAAATGGAAAAGTCCGGAGATACGACTCTTACCGTTGGTCAACTGGTCCTACTTTAAGAAGACAACGCTACGTCACGTCATTGGAAATTAGGTCGTGTCACGAAGGTCCATCCTGGTCCAATAACGATGTGCGAATTATTATTCGTCCAATCATTCATTGCAATCGGATTAACGATTTAGGTATTTATTTCTATAGATTAGATGCACTGAAATTGCAGAGTTAATAATTAATTGAATAAAACGAAGCGGTTAGGGGTGCACTTAGTCAAGTTTTAATTAGCGTCTTACCCTTTTTCTGTGCACATGCCTTGCCTAAATTATTTATGCAACAAAGTTGCTGCTTTCGTTTAAAACTCACAAATGAACTTTGTAGTAGGTATTTTACGTTGGGTCGCTGTAATTTAGTTGTACCTACTTCACAACAAAGTTTTGGTATTGACATCAATCTCATTAGCAAAAACAGCATTTATTGAAATTATTCAAAACCCAAGTGTAACTAAGTGTACGTACTTGAAATTGAAATTATGTAGTTTATGAATGCCGTGTAATTAAACGTGATCGTAGATATGTATATTGTATGGACTTCGTTTCCCCTTTTCGGATAATCTAAATGGATTTTCATTTTCATGACGACCATTTCGTTAATTAGATCAGGTAGAAATTACTGAAATTTAGGTACTCGCTTTTTATTGTAAAAGAAGACTGGAGAAAATAATGTCAAAGATTCCCTATTTCATTTAAATTGCGCCTATAGCACTCAAAACAACCCTGAACAAATGGGCGGTGTTTTCATTTACACATTTTACCCTGATTTACTGTTATTACATACAAGCGACCAAAATTCAATCAATATTTAAGCTCATTTGCGGGTTACAAATGTGAAATTGCAATCTAAATTAAACTACTACTTGTGCCTTGATTTGAATTTGGTCGGGGCACATTATAATAATATTAATTATTCCAGCGATTTTATTTTAAGGAATACGGTATTATTTTGTAGATAGGTATATATTTCATTCACGGTTCCCATATAAAACAACATTAACAGGAGCGAGTATCGGCAAATGCCGACTTTCTGAAACCATAAATTTCAATTAATTAAACCAGAATGCCTATTTCCAAAGTTCTGTTCACACGATTAAAATTATAAGGTAAGTATTTTATTTCCACTGAAATAACAAGGCGAGTAACTTCAGCGCATTCTCTATGAATTGATCAGTACTTCCCAGAAGGCCATATAGCTATGTGCGCTATGTTTTTCTCTCGGTTTTTCTTTACTAGAGGCATATATGATTAAAATTACAAAGAAATACCTCCATACGTTGCGCAGTTCGCGCATTAGCACATTTAATTTATGCTATAGGTATGCGATGTTTGTTTTTACCAGAAGCGTCATAGTTAACCTTTAGAGAGAAAGATTTTAATAAGTAAAAAGTTGGCATTTTGCACGCATTTTATTTTTACTATGTGTTTGTCTTTGCTAATGACATTTGTAGTTTTTGGTTTGTTAGTACATATGATATGTTTTTCTTTACTAGAAGCATCTATGGTTAAAATTTCAAAGAAATATCTTCATAAATAAGGAAGTTTGCACTGACTGCGCATGTGCACATTTAATGTTTGCAATATCAAATATGGTTGCCTTTAACAGAAGCATCTGTGATTAAAATTTCAAAAAGATATCTCGATAAATAAGACAGTTGATATTTCGCATCCTGCGCATGCCTACATTAATCTAATGTTTACAATATGCAATACGTTTGCTTTTACTATAAGCATCTTTGGTTAAAATTTCAAAGAAATATCTCCATAAATAAGAGAGTTGGCATTGCGCATCAGTCTGCGATGCGCACATCTGATTTTTACTATATCCGATATGTTTGCCTTTACTAGAAGTATCTGTGGTTAAATTTCAACAAAATATATTAATAAATAAGAAAGTTGACATTGCGCAGTCTGCGCATGCGCTAAAAAGTAGCCTATGTAGACACATTGAAGGTTCGAGCGTTTATTCCATCAAATTAATTAACCTCACCAATAACAAATTGGGGGGTTTTTAGAATAACTCCAAATTTCGATTTTGATATTGCACCTACGTTTCAAGGTCCACTTTTATAAAAAAAATAGCGGTTTAACAAGTTCTAGGGGCATTTCAGACAACATTTGGCCAAATAGGAGTTTTTTACTAATTTGAACCTGCTGAACACAAATATCGATGTTGGCACCCCGAAATCTGAACAGGAAGTTCAGAATTCAAGATGGCGGCTAATTTCAGAAAATACTGATCTTTTCACTCATATGCGACCGATGTTTTCGATCTAAAAACGGATTACAATGTTATTCCTGACGGAGGTACGGCACGATAATAATAGTGAACAAATGTTTCATAGTTTCATAATTTCATAGTTTTTCTAACGTCAAAGTGCGTAAAAGTGTTAAATTTGTTCACATCGGGTAATTATTCAATTATTTCTGTTTTGGCAAGCATTTTAATAATAATAATAATAATAATAATAATAATAATAAAGTTTATTGTGTTTAGGTAATCAACAAGAATTACATACACTCGTCATCAAACATATTTCAAAATTGTAACCTATAGCATCAAACTAAAATCGAAATTTATAAATTCATCCGTGGAGTAAAAGGCTTGAGCTAAAAGAACATTTTTAATACAGCGATTAAATTCTCGGTTGGATAGTGCTTTGACGGTATCAGGTAAACAATTGAAAAACTTTAGTGCCATATATTCAAAACCTTTTTGAGTTTTGTTGAGCCTCAATAAAGGGAGACGAACATTGCTTTTGTTTCGGGTGTCATAATCGTGATAAAAAGCTTGTTGCTGATCATTTAAAATGTTCTTTCTTGCAAATCGCAAACACGATTCAATAAATAAACAGGGTAACGTCAAAATGTTTAGATTAGTAAAAGCACACCTACAGTCCACTCTATAACCAAGCTTCGCAATGATCCTTATTGCGCGACGTTGTATTCTAAATAACTGGCTACTTGCTGACGAATTACCCCACACAATAACTCCATAAGATAACAAACTATGACATAAAGCATAATACGCCTTTCTGAGGACATCACACGTCACCATATCACATAATCTACGCAAGACAAACAGATTTTTACTTAGTTTTGATTGAATATAATCAATATGAAGAGTAAACTGCAACTTAGGGTCAATGTGTATTCCAACAAATTTTACTGACGGCGAATAAGATACATCATGGCGTTTTAAAGAGAATAACAATTGTTCAGTTTTCGTTGAATTTAAATTTAACTTATTAGCAGTGCACCACTCTTTAGTTTTGTCACAGAGAGATTGAGCTTCAGATATTAACTGAGCTAGATTATCACCTTGAACCAACAGAGTAATGTCATCCGCATATAGAATGCAATTATTGTTTGGTGAAATATAACTAGGAAGGTCATTGATATAAAGAAGGAACAGGAGTGGGCCAAGAATACTACCTTGGGGGACTCCTTTTGTAATTGCTAGTGTACTGGACTGTTCATTACCAATGCGGACATATTGAGATCGATCGGATAAATAGGTACGACCTGATTAAGGACAAACTCAGGACATCAAAGTTATACACTTTTTCCAACTTATCAATTAAAATTTGATGGCAAACACAGTCAAAAGCCTGCGATAAATCCAAAAAAATTGCTGTCGAAAATTCTCCAGCTTCAAAACATTGCAAGGTCGTATTGACAAAAGACAAAAGAGCATCAGTTGTACTTTTATTAACTATCTACTACGCTTCGAGAGCCTTCATAGTATCATTGGAGTAAGTGAAGTGCCTGTTTGTGAGTGGATAGTGCTTCTGTTCTGTAAAGGCTTGATTTTTAGGGTGTTGATGGAAAAATCAAATAATCAGCTCTTAATGATTTCGAATGTTAATTTGTTGTTATGAAACTGGTAGTATTGCTTGTACAACACACCAACATAATCGATGGTGATAGTAAATATGTAACAGATATTGAAAACTGTCATGTTGCCTTTTGACATGTTAAATTACACATTAATTACAAGCAGAGCGCCTATATTTCATTATATTTGCCTCCCTTTCCAATCTTTCCAATCCTTAAGCTTATTTGGAAGAGCTCCTTTGTTTACAGATCAAATGCCCTCGGCATATTTCTTATAACGAGTAGGGGTTTTGAAGTTGTCTTTGAATAATTGGAAACGTTTCTTGCTTTTAATCTTGACCGAAGTATGCGCCAAGTTACTTTTTAACCGAAAAAGAAACATTTTTTTGAATCTTATTCCACGGACACTATTTTTTAACTTCTCCAGTGGTCGCGGTAACCCTTCTTTTTTTGTCAATTTATCAAAAATTATGCTCTATCTACATTCCGCATTTTTTTTTAATTAATCATGAAATAGTACGTAAAACTGTTTCTAATATTTTATTATTACAACTATTTTCGTAAAATATAACGTAAAAACAGAAGTTCAGTTTTTCCTATCCGCAAATGACTTAAGAGCAAAATCAATTGCCTTTCCAATCATTTCATGGGTTTCTGGGCTATTGACAACGTTGTTCAAAAAGTTATTGACAGTCTCACTTATGATGTGACTCAAGCCCTCATCGTCATTCAACCCAGTAATTTCAGCCTGCAAGACGACCGGTTAGAGACATGAAATAAAGTAAGAATTACTTACTTTTGCAGTTTCAATTGATGTGATCGCTACAGTAGGTACCAATCCATCGAGATAGTTATAGCCGAGAGTAAGTGAGATACTCGCGTTTTTCAAGCTTAAACTAAAAATTCGTTAGAATAAGCAGAATTGGTCAAAATAAGGCTTACCTGGCGCTTCCATTTCCGTAAATGATGGGGGTTTTTGCGTCGAACGACCCAACGGAGGCGGAGAGTTCCGGTAACCTCAATTCAATGCTGAGCGTATTGTGTGGATAGCCGACATCCAGAGAGAGATCGGCAATGATGCTTGAAAATCCCTCGAGGTGAACATCATTTACCTTAATGTACATCCCCCAGAAGTCGAAAAGGGTTTCGCTTTCAATGTGAATGGGATCATGGATCTTTAAATAGGACACCAAACGGTCGAAGAGATCTTTAAGGGGAGTAAGGTCAATTTGGGCCTTTTGTGAAGGAATTGCATTATGTTTAGGGAAAGCCGCGGTGGCTGCTAGAAAGCAAGCGAAGAAAATGTAGACCTTCATGCTGCAACTAAAATTGTTGGAAATGTTAGAAATACGTCCAGGGCATGCAAGCACTTTACTTACCGCTTTTGGGGAGATAAAAAGTGTCTTGGATTCGAATTTTTATGGCATATATAGGAACAAAATTGATAATGTTTAACGTAAGTGGAGTTTTTTTTTTATATCATTCTATTATCTCGTTGTGTAGAGTAGATAAAGTTCAAAACCTCTTCAAAAAATTTGGCTTATATACAATTTAGGTTTTTGTACCCATGGTAACGGCAAATAAAATCCGAATTGCCATATAAAATCGGACGATGGTGACACAAAGAGTTACGGGGCATGTTATTTGTCTTAGATCAACGAAAAATGTTTGAAGTGACTTATAAAGTGGCAGTTTTGCAGAACCTAAAGTTTTTGATACCTATTGAGCAGAAATATTTGCGTATGACACTACCATGGTCCTTTTCTAAGACACAAATTCTAGACCTCCATATAGATCGTTGATGTCTTACTTCGAAGTTTTCTTTGAATAATTGGAAACTGAAGGGTATGATACTGCCCAAAATTTGTATACATTATAGGAATGTTTAATATGTTGGATAGTTCATGCATTTTCCAGTATTTAGACTGAGTAGTCATATAGGGTCGATTCTGTTCAGTTTAAGGTCGCTATTCTCTAGAAAAGGTAAAGGTTGCTTATCACGGTCTTGATGGGGGATTGAGGTGAAGTTACACGTTGTTCCCTCTGGCGATCAGTTTGAATCAACTCCAGGCCACTCACTTTCTGGTGGTAACCTTCGTGGAACTTCGTAATATCAAATTCAATGATGCACGCATTAAAAAAGCATTAACGATTTTAGGAACAGAACCAAAAACTGAGATTTTTGCTGAGACAATAGTGCTTATGTACCTACTGGCCCAAGTTGCAGCGCCATTATAATATGCTTCCATGCGGCAGTCTTAGTAGTCACCGATCCTTCGATATGTCTCCCCCACAGATGTCGATTTACACCCACCAACGCGCTTAAGTTTGATCAAATCAGCACTCGAGTTCGCAATCATTGTAGCTGCAGAACTGCGAAAACGATGTCCAGTGTATATTTCTGAATTTAGAAGTTCCAGGAAATCAGCAACTTTAGGGTACTTTATAAAAGGTATTAATTATTCCAACAGGAAAGCTATCCCTATTATGAGCAACTGATGAATTATCTGACATTTCATATCTATCTATCATCTATCATAAAATATGTTCTATCTACGTTTTTTTGAGTAATGCCTAAGGACGTAAAACTGTGTCTAATATTTATATTTCTTATTACAAATATTTTCGTAAATTATAACTTAAAAATAGAAATTCAGTTTTTCATATTCAAAATTAAATTAAGAACAATATCAATTGCCTTTCCAATCACTTTATGAGCTACTGGACTATTAACAACGTTGTTAAAAAAGTTACTGACAGTCTCACTTATGCTCTGACTCAAGTCCTCATCGTTGTTCAACCCAGTAATTGAAGCCTGCAAGACGATCGGTTAGAAATATCAAATTAAAGTAAGAATGACTTACTCTTGCACTTTCAACTGAGGTGATCGCTACAATGGGTGCCAAAACTAACCCATCAACATTGCTATAGCCGAGAGTAAGCGAGATCCTCGCGTTTTTCAAGTTGAAACTAAAAATCAAATTCGTGAGAATAATCACGATTGGTCAGAATAGGGCTTACCTGGCGCTACCATTTCCGTAAACGATGGGGGTTTTTGCGTCGAACGATCCAACGGTAGCGGAGAGTTCCCGTAAAGTCAATTCAAAACTGAGTGTATTCTGCGGATGACTGACACTGAGAGAAAGATTGCCCGTGATGCTTGAAAATCCCTCGAGGTGAACATCATTGACTTTGAGGTGCATTCCCAAGAAGTCGAAAACGGTTTCGCTTTCAACGTGAACGGGATCATGATTCTTTAAATATGACACTAACCGGTCGAAGTTTAAGAGTGGAGTAAGGTCAATTTGGTCCCTTGCATGATGTTTCGGGTAAGCCGCTGTGGCTGCTAAAAGGCAAGCGAATACAGTAAGGACCTTCATCATTCATGTTGCAACTAAAATTGTAGAAGTTTAGAAATATTTCTCAAGCGCAAACACTTTACTTACCGGTGTTGAGGAGATAAAAAAAGTGCCTTGGATTCAAAACTTTGCGATATATAAAGGGAAAAAAATTGATAATATTTAAAGCAAGTGGAATTTTGATTTTCATAGGTACCATTTTATTATATACTACCACAAATCTGTGATACTACCTACTTGAGATGTCATATGACTAAAATACATGTTATTTGTTTACGATCAATGAAAAATGATTCATCAGAAAGTGCTCCTACAGTTTTTGCTACCTATTGAGCAGATCGACTTATTTGCGTATGACACTATCATTCAAGCTACTTCAGTAGGTACTAGAAATTAGCAGGTCATGTTCCTTTTCTGAGAAACACAAATTCCAAGTGTTGATAACATTTTGACAAATAATTTATCGTAAGGCTGTTTGATATAGGGAGAATCATTGTTCATTGTACAAATGAAGTGGATCTTCTATTCTAGGTATAAAAGCAACAACATTGTAGAATGAACTTACTTTTTGTTGTTCGGGACAACGACCGCTGTTTAAATTATTGACTAATTACCCATTCATTTACAGTAGCAAAATGAAAGCCTTTATGTTTTTGCCTGCTTGGTTGATTTTAGTGCCACTGACAAGCCAATTGATCTGTTTTTTTTTATTAAAGAACAAGTTTGTGACAACGTTTTTGAAGCAATATCATATCCCGTTGAAATAGAAAGCCAAACGATTTTCGATATATTCGGAATGTAAGTCAAAACCAGGTAAATTCCTTACAAAATGAAAAACTTGGTCAGTATACCTTCTTATTCACCAAGAAATGGAAAAAGTATATACGAATGAAAAGAATCTTTTGAAATTTTTTCTTGTAACACTTTACAATGCGCAGTACCTACACTGCTTTGTTACTCAGGGAAGGAAATCTTTTATTTATATGTAATCTTTCTCCCAAAACGTTCATGAAACCTTTTTTTTTCATTCGTACTTTATGTCAGAAAATTTTAGTTTCCTTGACAGTCGTAGTAACACCTTACCTCATTACTTTTCCTGCTTCCTGTCACGTTACCAGACGCCTTTCGAAACGGACAGTAATATGGATAGAATGATTAGACATTTTATATTAAAAAAGTTTTGGGCAAAAATACTCATCATCAGTAGTTAAAATACTCGGACTCACATTTGATGACCGTGGTTTTTCAATTGAGTGCTAAATCTATGCTATGAATGTGCTGCTATAAACTAGATAAATTTGCAGTATGTATAAGTACAACTGTGTCAATGTGTGGTTGCTCGAATGATGTATCACCATACTATAGTCAATTATCTAAAATGTTTGTTGACTTGTTGGCAAATGAGATAGTTGTCATACCCGGGGTTTACATCATAGGGCGTGTCAAGTACATTGACTAATATGGGAAGGTATTGTATAGTGATACGATTGCGAGAATTATAGTGTGATTTATGAAGCTTTTTTTAACTGAAGGGGACTGAAGGAAAAAATTTGGTTCTGTAGAAACGTTTAATTATTGCAGTTGTATTTGTCTGATATTGAAGAAAATGTACCGATTTATTATTTTACTGCACATAGAACTTCAGATACTAGACTTCGCACAGCGTTTGAGAGTCTAAATTTTCAGAATTTTGCAGTTGACAAATTCGAAATTTCACTGTCTTAAATAAATTATAAGATCATAATCCAAAAAAATTGAAAGATTTTGAGTTATGTGCCTCTGCTGTCTTAAGTGTTTTATGTACTTTGAGCTTTCACGGGTTTGAGTTGTAAATTTTGTCTAAACCCCTGAAATATATCTTCAAAACAACATTGTTTAAAGAAGATTTTAATGGTATCCAAATTTATGAACAGTTTGCTACCAATTTAAATACTTTAAAATTATGGCCAGTGGTGTACGTCTGCATAGTCAAGGGGGATATATATATATTTTTTAATAGCAGCCACTATTTTTTATTACATAGGTACATACAATACAATACATAAAACTATTATCATATATATTGCTGCTATATACAAAAAAATGCAGTTTTTTATAACACGTAATGAAAACTAGTAGTTGCCAGTTGACGATGCAGAAGTACGTCACTGAACACAAATTTAAAGCAAACTTTTTGCAATTGGATACCATAAAAACTGGTTTGCAAAAATTGAAGTTTTGAAGATACGAGGGGTCGTTTTTATATTCCCAGATTAGGCATGATAACAAAAGACTAGAACAACATTTTATTTTTCAATATAGGTATACCTAACACCGTCTCAATAACATCTTTAATTCAGTATAAAAATATTCATTTGGTCTTTCTGCAAAATTGTTGCTATAAGTTAGCCATTGGGCCGTATGAATAAAAGTAAGCAAATGCTTATACTTGCAAAATTCAAAGTAAATACTAGTAAGTGCTCCTTCGCACTGGGCGACTTAGCAGCGCTTCTAAGCAGAAAGAAAGGACGCAGTACAGCGCTGCTAAACCATGCTAAACAGACCAGTATGAACGGGCAGGTACGAGTATTTACTTTGAATTTTGCAGGTATAAGCATTTGCTTACTTTTATTCATACGGCCCATTGTCTTTAAATTGTGCCCCTTTTACAGTTTTTTTTAAGTTCGGGAACACAAAATCCGCACTGTGTGCTAGATCTGCACTATAAGGCCGTTGTTCTATTTCTCCGAAAGTTACAATCAACTACGTCAGCTTTTGAAGGTTTGGACTTCGTGCACTGGCATTGTCGTGGAACAACAAGACACCTTGCATCAGTTTTCTGCGTCTCTTTTCACTTTGATAGCATCTCTAAGGTGATACATCGGGTTTGCATAATACTCTCCCATTACCGTACTACCCTTGTCCATAAAATCAATCAGAAAAATTCCCTGAAAGTCCCAGAAAATGATTGCCATTATTTTTCGTAGTAGGTCCACGAATTATTTGTGAGCTAAACAAACAAATTGACAGGCCTGTAGCAGAGATGCGTGCACAGACATTTACGATTCCAGAGGTATTTTCTGTATGTTCAAAATAGTTTTCTCACATTGGTTCTACGTTTCATTTGTGTTGCCTATACCTACGTTGAGTGATTTATGGCCATAATTTAAGCGGAGCTTAGCTTTAAGTGTAGATTAAAATTAATGGCAACAATTATTGCGATATATTTTTTTCTTGATTCAATAGCAAATATGTAACCGTTTTGGATCATATATTACACCGATTTATTATTCGTCTAACTCCCTCGCTCTGATTAATATAACTGAATATGATCTAAATTCCCGACATCTAGCTGCCAAACATCCGGAATACATTAAGAAAACAATGCCCTAGAGAAACCGAACGACGCAGACAAGACGTTCTGACTTCCATCACGGTTTATGAATACAATTCCACAATTGTGAAATTGACCTTCTGACAAACTGTAAAGTTTCTTTGATATGTGATGCCTAATTGTTCTACCCTTAAAATTCACAACTTCGAAACAAAATTAATTGCACTTTGTGATCCTTCCACCCAGACTGGTATTTATGTTTCCCTCTTTCATATAGAACATTTTGAAACAAAGACAATAAAATAATCCCTCGTCAGTAATTCTAAAAAAATATAAAATACCTAGACAAGGCGATCATACTTAGCCTTTAGTATCGAGGGTTGGGAATAGTCCTTTGTGAACTACGTATATAGGTACTAGTTTCTTAAATTGGTATGCATTACCTATACCAACAATGATTGTTTATACTAGGAGGGCCCAGAGTAGTAATAAATACTAATAATCAAAAAATAATATCAAGTAATATTTTCAATCTTCCAATTTATTTATGTCTAATCTACCGGCAATGATATCTAATCCAAGTATGACTTTCAGATCACGATTGTCAGTTATCTGTGGCTTGGCGATTGGCTAATAAAGCAATAGGCAGACTACCTACATTTAGATCACTTGAGAAGGTGAGGTGGACCAATGTCAGGTTCATATTATAAGATATTGAAATGTAGGTCCGAACGATCACTCGACGATTGGATACATTTATTAAGTGCAAAAAAATATGTACAATTTACAATTAAAGCAGTTTAGTTATTCGTTTTGAAACCTAAAATGCCTTTAATGATATAATCCACCACGGTTCCGAGAAGATTGTGGGTTTCGGGACTGTTCACAACGCTGTTTAAGAAGTGATTTACTGCGTCGCTTACGGTTTTACTCAATTCCTCATCGTAATGGATTCCAGTAATTTTAAACTGGAATCGAAACATTAATATAAGATGCTATGCAAGTAGCATTAGTTACTTACATCAGCGCTTCCAATTGAGGTTATCACCTGGGTTGGTTTCAATCCGCCAAACAAATCGTAACCGATATTAACGGAAACGTGACCGTCCTTCAAGTTAAACCTAGGAATTCAAGTTATTAGTCACGATAATCCAAACTTTGGAAATCGATCTTACCCTGCACTGCCTTGCGAGAATATCCATGGAATGTTACAGTCGAAACGTTCAACTACTGCTACAATTTCTGGTAAACCAAACTCCAACTTCACCGTGCTTACTGGAAAACCGATGTCGACTGATAAATCGGCGAGCATGTTTGAGAAACCTTCGACGTGGAGGTTATTGACATTCACGTACATACCAAACATGTCGAAAAGTGTTTGGTTCTTAATATCAACCGGATCATATTGCTTCAAGAACGCCACGAAGTTGTCGAAGTGTTCTTTGATGAAAGAAAGATCAAGTTCGGTTCGCTCATTGGAAATTTGAGAATGGGCTGGTGATGGTACACTCAAGGTGGTACCGCATACTACCAGACATACAAAAACAATGAAGGATTTCATTTTGTAGCTAAAATATATACAATTCAGAAATGCATCACACACGTAGCTGCGAATTTTACTTACCGTTCTAGAACTTCCCAGCAACAAAAAGTGATCTTACTGTATTGTAGTGCTTATATATCGAAAGCAGCCACTTACTTGTTCAAGAGGACAACTAAGTAAATCTCTTTCTGATATTAAAAAAATTTGTGATAAACGTATCTGTTTTATCAACCCATCATTTATTTTAAGAAAGGAGCTCTTGTTTTGTTACCTACTGGGAGCGAAAACAGCGAAATCATTTAAACTTGAATTAATGATTACCTACTACTAATTTTTGATCACTCTACTCTTAATACAGGCCATTTGTGCTCAAATGGGCATCTAGCGGGAAAGTTGTGGGGTAGTTTTGATTTCTTTGATTCTATATGTTTTTAGGGGTGCTGAATCCGAATCTGAGGTTTGCCAACAAAATTTCATGACGCAACATTGAAAAAAATACAAAAGAAGTTGAAAAAGATATTTTTTGGCAGTTGTGCTTAAAACTTGAAAACTATCGACTTTTCGAAAATAACCCTCCTATTCAAAATGAAAGTACATACAATTTCCTACAGATTCCTCTATTTAGTTTTTTTCCTCGTTGAACCGTTCGGGCTCAAGCGCCAGTTGAAAATTGGCGTATTTCGGCTGTATCCGCAAATACCCATCTTTTATTATTATTTTGTTATTATTCTGTGCAAATATAAATCCGTACTTTTCATTGTCTACCGGCCTCCTCAAAAGATTTTATAACTGTTCCGTCTGGTATAAAACTCTCCCACTCCTTCACAGATGAGCCAAGGCCCATTACATCACCGTGTAACTGCGTTTGTAGTCTTGAAGTACTTCTCATGGCTCTGTATAGGAAAAGACATGAAATTGATAGAACAAACATTCTATAAAACTCAAAGTGTACGTGATTCTTCAGAACACCGGGGCAAGAGGGATAATGCCGTTGAATAGGAAATCAATAATACCCCTTTTGCCATTTGAATTTTTTGAATTAATAATGACCACAGCGCCACTTTTCCAAATTCAACAATAATTATTGAAACATGCTACGGTAGGGTCTTGTAATTTCTTTATCTGGTTCGGAAGAGAGTGGGAATAGTTTTAGATAGCACAGTATAGGTATTATATTATGAATAATATAATAATATGAGATACCGTTTTTCGTTAGAAATTAACTTTTCGTACCATTCTGGGCTACAATAAACAACTTGAACGTTATGTAAATGAAAAAAAATCACCCTTACATATAAAGTTCAAATAATAGTAGGTAAATGCAAGGAATTCACTTATTGACGACCCTTAATATTAATTTAGGGTTTTAGTGCGAAAAAATTATGTTTTGTGGAGGCAGCCGAAATACGGCAATTTTCAACTGGCGCGGCGCTTGAATCCGAACGGTTCATCGAGGAAACAAACTAAATAGTGGAATCTGTAGGAAATTTTATGTACTTTCATTTTGAATAGGAAGGTTATTTTCGAAAAGTTGATAGTTTTCGAGTTGTAAGCACAAAACTGACAAAAATATATCTTTTTCAACTTTTTTTTATATTTTTTTCAATGTTGCGTCATGAAATTTTGTTGGCAAACCTCAGATTCGGATTCAGCACCCCAAAAAACATATAGAATCAAAGAAATCAAAACTACCCCACAACTTTCCTGGTAAAAATATAATTTAACTGGATTATCTAGTGTAACCTCCGTTTTATCAATTGCAAATCTTTGAGGTACAATCCCTTGCCTTAAACCTATAGCTTTAAAATGTTCTTATAACTTTTATTCAGTTGATGCCATTTCGAATGCAACAGAATTAATACATTCATTGCTTCAGAATCTCACGAAAGTAGTTAGTTAAGTACCCTTTGGGACTTTTTTTGAAGAGAATTCTCTTTTATACAATATACGATATGAGAGTGAAACAGGCATTTCAAGTATCCATAATCGTTTCTTTCGTACATTTTCGTCTCTATAATATAGGTTGGATAAAAATGACGTCCTGCCAACGCTCAAAATTCATTCTAGTTTTGCCTTAGGAACATTCCAGTTTTTAATACTGGAATGCACTCGAGAATAAATTTAAAATTTCAGATGTCCTGTATGTAAAAAATGTGATCCTTTAAAAAATTGAGTTAGTTATAACGATTTACTTGAAATTGCACTTTTTCCAGGATATGCTATCCCACTAGGGAGGCCGATTTTTTTAGCGTCATCATGGAAGGTGTCCGAACGTATTCCAAAGGTCCTACTGAGTAATACAAATGTCCTAGTCAAAACTTAATTTTACTGTAGTGTATGGCGTATGGACTACAGTGGAGCTCCCACTTTTGTGGGATGAATTTTAATGATAAAAATACCAGGTATATATTTATTTCAGTTTTGTGAAGTGGCGATATTGTAACCGATGAAGTATAACTGAGGTGCAATTATTGCTAGTTGAATATATCTCCATAGGTGAGTGCTATTCCCATGAAAAAGAAAACTCTTTAAAAAATTGGCAAGAAAGGATTATCTCTGCCATTTCGATCGGTTAGATTTTATTTATATTTGGGGCATGTTATTCTTGTCTTAGTTAGGAACTTGTCTAACAATTATTTCTATTATAACAATTGTAGTCGCACAAGAGATTATCTACCAAATGACTTCAACTCATCAGACAAAAAAAAACCAGCCCTTTTATAGTGTCTATTTTGACTATTTAAGATATGTGAGATGAAAAAGTTGGGATTAACCTGACTTAAAGATATATGAGGGATGGTCACGTGGTGTCAATAAGTGCTCTCCCACATAGATTTCTTCCCTGGTTTTAAATGGTCCTTTATGCGCAATTGGTTTAACGTTAAAGTAGACTGACTTAATATACCTTAATATCGGTAACATTATAAGATATCTTGATTCTACAATCAGACAAAATTCTCTCTTGCAAATTTACACTTTCCTGTTACCTGAGGTACAAAAATAACGTATACTACACTACGGGACTAAAGTGCCTCTTATTACTTTTGATGATTGTTTATCTCTCAACAAACTACACCCTCGGGATTAAAAATTTACACTTTAGTTCTTAGTGAGCGTCACTTAAACAATTTATGAAAGCGTTAACAATGCTGTTATTAGGAAAAATAGCTTTGCATTCGTGTTCAAAATAGGGGTGCATTGCTCTATACCTGCTCGTGTAAAAATCTTGTTGTACATGTTTCGTGAATTCTAGGTGCTTCAATAGCAGAATCATTGGGGACGAAATTGTAAGGGGGAAGCGTTCACCTTCTAACTGCTAGATTTTTTTTACTAGCATCGATATACCTGTTTTGTATTTCCATTGTATTATTTATTCTTTTCCAATTCCAATTTACCCGTGTAGGGGCGGGCAAGAATAACCCTACCGCAGAGACACTGCGTGTCGTAAAAGGCGACTAATCAATGGTGATTTGACCAACAACCGGAAGTAGGGTTGTTTTAAGTTGTGGAGTCTACTCGTCCAGGTCACGATTCATCTACAGGTTGCGAGTATGAACTTCAAGTCAGAAAATAAGTAACTTCCATTGACATTTTGACATTTACACCCCTTAATTAAAACGTTATCCCGCCAGGTGACCGTAGTCTTGGGGATCGCACTGATGGTGTATTAGAGTTTTTACACTCAGGCAAACCCTTTTTTACCAGAGATGAGTAAAATAAAATTTAAAATGTATTGGAAATAGAAAATATAAGTTGCATTAAGAAAAATTAATGGAAATGTAAAATGAAAAGTGGTTTTTCTAATAGTTATTTTAGATGCAAAATATTATGTATCTTAAAAATGTTTAAAGTAAGCACAAATACATTCTGTATTGTAGGTAAAGATTATTAGTCCAACAACAAAGTTTAATCTACAAAAATTGTTTAATAGCAAGCTACCCCAAGAAGCACTTGGGAATGTAAAAAATCACATCGCTTTCCTCCATACAGTTACAGATTTCGATACAATTCCTTCACTATTTAATTAAGGCAAAAACCAAGCTTTTAAACTTTGCAATCGAACGACACTAAGCCAAAAGGTTTCTGCATTCAATGATACAAATTCAACTGAAGAATACGAGTATATTGCTCAATAGGGAGATTACTTCCTCAAACTGTTAATTAACGGGCGCGTTTCTTCAGATGACTGTAATGGAACTAGATTTACCTTTTATAAAAAAGGTTATAGCTAAACAACCAGTTTGTGGAAAGTTTGATCTCTTGGTACTACCACCAACATCTGGAGCAGCAAGCATAGTTATAGGGTTTTTCACCAAGTTTAGTCTTTGCATGGGATAGACTTTCCTGCTACTGACTGGGGAAGGTAGAAAAATATGCGCAAAATGCAATGGTGAAACATGCTGCAACATACTAGTTGAAGGGGACGAAGACGCGGATGTACAAGATTACTCATTTTATAATAGTCAACCCAACGAACCTGGACCCTCCACACTAGGCAACTAAACCGTTTGAGGTTTCGGTTTTTAGATATTAAAGTCAATTTTTTGGCAGAACTACTTTTTTATAGCTTCCACGATGGCCGTGAATGGTGGCTGTCCACCAACATGCACGTGCTGCAAGACTATAGAATTTTATTTACTTATCCATTAGGTACCTTCACACACATCTTTAGCTTTATATTTTGTATTTAGTTTGAATAAGCTAATTACCCTGGACTATATGGACTAGAAACCAATTTCGAAAGAAAATTCAAAGGGCTGTAACTTTTGAACTAGTAGCCCAATCTTGGAACTGTTTGAAATTACGGTTTCTACAGGCCACATTCTATAAGAAAAATTTTTTCCGGGTCGATCTGAGACAATTTTTTCTTCGGGGCTCAAAAAAAGGCAGAGTATAACCTTCCTTTTTTACCAAAAATCGACTGCACCAAAATTTCTCGAGAAAGCACTTTTTCTTATTAATTTTGGGGGCATGGAATCCAAAACAATTCGTACCTTTTCGATCAGACTTCTCAATCAAAAGTTATGGACGAGAAACCAATTTCGAAAAAAAATTCAAAGGGCTGTAACTTTTGAACTAGTAGCCCAATCATGGAACTGTTTGAAATTATGGATTTTCAGAGTCGATCTGAGACAATTTTTTTTGGGGCTCAAAAAAAGGCAGTGTATAACCTTCCTTTTTTACTAAAAATAGATTCCACTAAAATTTCTCGGGAAAACATTTTCTTATTAATTTTGGTGCGTAGAATCCAAAACAATTCGTACTTTTTCGATCAGACTATTCAATCAAAAGTTATGGACTAGAAACCAATTTCGAAAGAAAATTCAAAGGGCTGTCTGTAACTTTTGAACTAGTAGACCAATTTTGGAACTGTTTGAAATTATGGATTCTACAGGCCACATTCTATAAGAAAATTTTTTTTCCGGGTCGATCTGAGACAATTTTTTTTCGGGGCTCAAAAAAAGGCAGTGTATAACCTTCCTTTTTTAGCAAAAATCGACTGTACCAAAATTTCTCGGGAAAACACTTTTTCTTATTAATTTTGGTGCGTAGAATCCAAAACAATTCGTACTTTTTCAATCGGACTTCTCAATCAAATTATCTACTGCTACAGGGGACAGCAAATAGAATAGTTGAATTGTGACCCAACCAACGGCCTTCCAGTTCCATCGGTCTCTAAGCAGTTCAAAACATACCAAGTCGGGGGCATCCTCTCTTTCATAAACATATGATATGTAGGTAACTTATTTAGGTTAATTATTGATATACTATCAGTTATCTAAGATTTGGAAATTTGGAAAAGACCTTATATAAATACCTATTGTTTACTTTGAGATAGTCGAAGCTACTTAATTTGGTGCCACTATTTGTTGAGCTTCAATGCGAAATGATTTATAAACCAAAAAGTGTGAGACCTTATTTATCGGCGGGTTCGTCTTTGAGAGTTTTCTAGTTACATCGATTACCTACTTGTTTTTAATATCTACTAACGTGTGATTGCCTTTTTAGAAATAAATATGAGGCAAGATGTAGACGCTAACTTCATTAACACTCCACGTGGTTTGGGAAATTGTAAATCCACATACCTACTGCTAACATATTTGATTATCACCAAAATTTAGCCCAGAAATACAAAATTGAAACAATCAAATAAGTCCATACATTTATTATGCAAAGTTGCGTAAAAAATGCCACACAACTAAGTGTGCAATTTGATAATTCAAAATCAGGTATAACTTAGTTGCCCTGGTTCTTCATCACTTCTAAGACAATGTTAATGATGGTGTCCACAACCGTTCCAATAATTTTGTGGGTTTCCGCGCTGTTAAGGGTGTTGTTGAAGAAGTTATTGACTGCTTCGGTAATGGTTTGGCTCAATACCTCGTCGTTATTGAATCCAGTAATTTTGAACTAAAATAGCAACGTTGATGCGGGGCGTAAAGTAACAATAATATCTTACGTTTGCGCTTTCAACTGAACTCATAACTTGGGTGGGTTTCAAACCAGACATCAAGTCGTAGACGATCTCGACGGAAACACGGCCGTTCTTCATTTCGAAGCTAAATATCAAATTGATAATAATAGATCGTATAATTAACAACTAATTCTTACTTGGCACCACCTTCACCGAAAATGAAGGGGAGAGTGGATTCGAACTTCTCAACGGATCCTGAGATTGCTGGCAAATCGAATTCGAATTTCACCTTAAATTGGGGGAAAGTGATGTCAACGGAGAGGTCGGCCTTCATGTTTGAGAAACCTTCGATATGGAGCTTGTTGAGTTTAACGTACATTCCCATAATATCAAAAAGTGTTTGACTCTCAACATCAACGGGATCATATTGTTTCAAGAATTCTACAAACTTATCAAAATGTTCCTTGATGAAAGCAAGATCCATCTCCTCTCGCTGTCCCATCACTGGAGCTGGCTTGTGTACGCTGAACGCGGTACTGCATGCTAAGAAGCAGGCGAAGACAATGAAGGCTTTCATTTTGAAGCTGCAATAGTACAAGTTAGTAAAGCATTTGGAAATGTATATGCGACGATACACTTACCTTTTTGGAAGTCACCAATAAAAGTGAATTAACTGTGCTGTCGTGGTGCTTATATATAGGTACGCAGAAAATCATCTTGTCTACTACATACTGAATAGGCTTTCAATATCAAAAAAGTACTTATGATAACATTGATTGTCGAAACTTTATCAACGTAATCTCATTGGAACTTTTTACGTTAGAAAATGAGCGTGGCCTTGCTTTTGTTGTCTCCTCAAGGATTTTCAGTTTTTTAGTCTAAAACCATCAAATGCATTTAAATCCTGTTAAAGTGAAGAAATGAGGGCTCAACTATGACTTTAACTTCTATAATTATCGAGCGACAAAATGCTCCCAGCTCCTTAGTTGTCATTAAGATCACGTATCACAGCTTTGCAGAACTGAGCATTTTACTGCATATTGCTCTTGAGAAAACCAATGACGGAGAAAGATTCGAAAATTTGAAGACCCATTTCCCTTACTAAAGAGAATTAAAAAAAAATAAACTGTGCAGTCATTGAAACCCTGAAATGCGATATTAGATCTTTTTTCTGGAACATTCCGGTTTTATACCGTAGAAAATGCTCTACAATTTATATTATAATTTTCTCATTTATCGTTTGTCTAAAGGCCGACTTTTTTTGCAATTTCTTACTTTTATATATCAAAAAATTGCTTTTTTCTCAAAATGAGGACGAATCGGCACATAGTATACGATTGTGCATTTTATTGAAGGGAAGTTTATTATAAATTAGTATCCATAAGAAACATTATCCTGATTCTAATAATGCTACCTGCTAATCAGTATTGGGGTAGCTGAATATGAAGTGGAATGACATGTTAATATCTCACTGGTGAGTCACCAGTATGACTGCATAAAGCTAGTTCCTAGTAGATAATCATGACATGATTACTAAAGCGCCCTTTGAGCCCAGTTCTGTTCATTATGACAACTAATAAATTCCAGTTTTGACTATTCATCTTATTTCTAGGACCTTGGATGTAAAAGTCATTATTCAATGGCCAATTTGAGGAAAGTTGCTAAAGATAAAAATCTTGAACTTTGAATATTGCGACGTTATTTTTCTCAAAAATTTTTGAACGTATCTTCTTATCTGAGACTTTTGGAGACAATTTAGATATAAAAAATGAAATACTGGTAATCTTAAGTAGATTCTATACAAGAGTGTTTTACGCATCAGTTTTAGTTACGTTCTGTTTTGCAAAAATGAAACTGGTCTTTGTATTTGCTTGCTTCGCAATTGCTTGTAATGGCTTTGTGCTACAGGCGCGTCGTGATTACCACAAACAAAGACGTGGAGATGTCCGTTCAAATACCAATTTTGAATATATTATAAACATGTTGAATGAGACCATTGCTCAGCTCAAACACTACGATCCACTTGATGTCGAAAGCCGCACCTTCAAAATTGCCTCATACGATTTGACATTTAGGAATGTGCACCTTGAAGGCTTTTCAGGCATTAAGCATGATATTTCCAGCGTCGTGAACGGGGAATCGGGTACATTACAAATTAAATTAAATTTGCCGGGGGCGTCGGGTAGCACCAAATCATGGACATTAAACGCACCCCTCATCTTTGGAGAAGGTGACGCAAGGTATGTTTGCTTATATTTTTCTTGTGCATCACCTAAATTCTATCACTAGTTTCAGTGTACAAAACGCAAAGCTCTCTATTTCACTTCCCTATAGCAAAACGGGTGGTTTCGGAAAAGCAAAGGTTCATACGTCCATGGGAAAGGCGAAAGTTTCACTTACCGGAGTTAATAACGATGAGATTCTAAGTAAAAAAATTACTAACTTCATGAACTTTTTGTTGAATGACGGATTCAACCACTCGTTATTTCAGGACATTTTGGGAAAATTAGTGGATCAGTTTCTTAGTAAATTTCAAGAATTCATCAACTCTATGTAATATAATCTTGCACTATAAGATTAAATAAAGGTTATAAATTGTGAAATTTTTTCCGTAAATAAAAAACTGAAAACCTTTGCATATTATTTGCAATTTCCATTCCATTAGAAATTTAATTTGAAATTAATAAGTATGAAATACAGAAACAGAAAAACGAGACGAGGCGATATAATCGAAAACTGAGAGAATCTGGGGAAAAACGCCCTGACGTATCTTGTTCTATTTTGTAAATAATAATAAGAATTAGAGCTATATCGATGTGGTCAAAAAAAGTTTTTCCATTTGTATCCATCCCGTGGGTTTTCCACCTTTTCACTTTGCTTGAAAGTCAACCGATGGTGACGGTCTCTTCTAAATTGTTTTCAAAATATGGCATAACAATAAAATCTTTAAACACGTGGTGATAAGATATGCGCTCTTCACTTACAAATGCCAAGGATTTTTTGCGTGTTACACAATAGCACATGTAACTCAGGAGCTCGTGATGCTGCGACTTTCTGCAAATCGTTGCTGTTCCTGAGTCGTTGTAGTAGAGCAATCTGGAACAAATTGCTTACTTAGAATAATAATCTTATAGTCTTAAGTTTGAAATATTAGAATTTTTTTCAAAATTCGTAACCAAAAAGCTTCATTTTTTAGCCGCGTGAGACTTTAGACCTTTGAAGGTTAAACGTTGTTGATGGACAAAGACTTCAAAGGTGACGAATTAAATTTATGTGTAAGTTGTAACGCATATTTCTTGAACTTAAACTTCTCTTCAATTTAATCTAGGAATATGTGGTCAATCGAGCTTATTTATTTTATTTAATTTCACTGTAGATAATTTTTCCTCTATATTAACCTCCATCCATGTTCTCATTCAATGATGTAGGTAGGTACATAAATTGTAATTAAATTTATAAATCCTTGATACTTTTTAAGTTGGAGCCTTGCAAATTCACTAAACTTAAGACCATACGCTTAAGGCTGAGTGAGGTTAAAGTTAGGGTACGAAAAGGACATTTCAAATTGAATTTTCAAGTCTTGAGCGATTTAAGGTATTCAGAGTAAATGTTTCGTAGAATCTTCAAGCCTTCGACTTAAATTTAAAAATTACTGAATATTTGAAAGTTCGTATTACCGTCTATTTGAAACTTTTGAGCTTTAGAAGCGCAAGTCCCTACCTCGAATTTTACAAAGAGCAAGTTGTTTATAACAACATATTGAATGAATCTTTCGGAATTCATCGTCGAGATTTCAGATTTTTGTGCTTTTAAATTCTATACGCTAAGATGATTCTTATAAAATGAAGTTGAAATGACATGTCAAAGAATAGGTTGTACCCGCGCAATGCTACTTTTTTGTGGACGGATTTTTTGGTTAAATTACTGAACACGAATTTGGCTGAAGTAGGTAACTAATTTTTTCGGAAAAAGACTGTTAATGTGGAAATGCGCTTTTTGTAAATCGTTTACGATTACTTTTTGAACTTGTTATTATTATTGTGGTGAGGTTGTCTGTTTTTGAGCCTCCCGTGTTAAAAGATTTACAGGAAAAAAATATCAGGCTATCAAGGAATTGTTCCGATCTTTTTGTTTATCGTTACGCACAATATATTGGTTGCTGAGTATCTACCACCTTTCGGAATCCTGCGGATAGCCCGGATGTGTTTCGTACAGTTTTGGAGCTTTACTATTAATGTTTCTTTAGAGTGAGATGGAATAATTGGTGCGTTGGCATTTGAGTAACGCATTTTTTTTTTAATTTTGGATCAAATAGGACAGGAATTATCGTCGATTGTTTCCAAGGCATTATAGAAACAAAAACAATTTTCAGACAGAGCTGGGTAGAATACTTTCAAAGAGCATTTGAATACTAAATAGTAAATACGTTACACAAATCAAAGGTATTTGAATACTAAATACTTTTACGTCCAGCACAAGCGAATACTAGAAACAGATACATTGAAAAGTATTCAAATACTTAAAAAAATAAGTATTCAAATACTTTAGAATGTATTCGAATACTTTCAAAGGTATTCGAATACAGTAAAAAGTATTCAAATACTTGTCACTCAAATACATTAAAAATTTAAAATAGTATACTAGATAAAAGGCTTAATACTACTTAAAAAATCAAGTTATACTTTGTATGGGATTACCTTTTTTTATATTTCTATTGTTATATACAAATTTAAGGGGAGTAAAAGCGTATTATTATTATTATATAGGAGGTACCTACCAGGACCTTTCTTATACCAGTTATATCCTTAAGAATACGTGTACCAGTTTTCAAAGCGATCGTACGTCGTGCACATGATACGTACGCCTTTCTGAAATTAATCCTAACGATTTTGGAACAGATCCATTTTTGACCATCCGTTTGTCCGTGTGCATGATAACTTGTTTAGAAACGTGCGATCGCTTTGAAAATTGGTACACATGGTCTTAAAGATATAAGAAAGGTCCCTATTGTTTTTAAGTTACGTAGACTATCGAGTTTGGTATTCAGATGTATCGGATTTTTATATTTGATTTTGTGACAATGGAAACTTTCCCTAAACATTTCTAAATTGTTCTCAAATATTTGAATAACTTAAAAGTACTGCCTTTTTTTGAGGCCGGAAAAAAAATTGTCTGAGATCGACCGGGAAAAAACATTTTCTTATAGAATTTGGCCCGTAGAATCCATAATTTCAAACAGTTTGAAGATTGGGCTACTAGATCAAAAGTTACAGCCCTTTGAATTTTTTTTCGAAATTTGTTTTTTGTCCATAACTTTTTATTGAGAGGTCTAATCGAAAACGTACGAATTGTTTTGGATTCTACGCCCCAAAATTAATAAGAAAAAGTGTTTTCCCGAGAAATTTTGGTGTAGTCGATTTTTGGTAAAAAAGGAAGGTTATAACTGCCTTTTTTTGAGCCCCGAAAAAAAAATTGTCTCAGATCGACCCGGAAAAAAATTTTCTTATAGAATGTGGCCTGTAGAATCCATAATTTCAAACAGTTCCAAGATTGGGCCACTAGTTCAAAAGTTACAGCCCTTTGAATTTTTTTTCGAAATTGGTTTCTAGTCTATAACTTTTGATTGAGAAGTTTGATCGAAAAAGTACGAATTGTTTTGGATTCTACGCACCAAAATTAATAAGAAAAAGTGTTTTCCCGAGAAATTTTGGTGCAGTCGATTTTTGTTAAAAAAAGGAAGGTTAAGTATTCAAATACTATGCGAAGTATTCGAATACTTCTCAAAGTATTCAAATACCTTGCGAAGTATTCGAATACTAAATATTTGTGAAAGTATTTGAGTTGCTTCCATAAAAGTATTTAATTACAAAGTATTTGAATACTTTAAAGGATTTGAATACTAAAAAGTATTTACAAAATCGAATACTGCCCAGCTCTGTTTTCAGATTTCCTTTCTTGCGAAAACCGTGAAAACTGCCAACTCCTCATTAATTATATCGAGAGTACTTTATTTGGAGTTGCATTTTTTAGCATTAGCCTTTGTTTTTTTTATAGTTGCAAGGCGGTGGGTTGTTAGAATTGTTTTATCGAATAAAAGTCGTAGTTTTTATTTAGAACCTCCAACGTTAAATGTGAATCGCTAGAACAATAGTGTTTTTAAAAACAAAAGCTGATATAGGTGGTTCGTAATACGCTAATTAATAAGATAATTTATATCCAATCTTTATTAATCATAACTGATATGATAATGCTCAAATTAAATCATCTTAACCCTCGTTAATTTTATCGGTATAAGATCGTTGATTAAGTCTTCCACTGGTTTTGATATAAGTTTTCCAATAACCACGCCATACTTCTGTACATACCCTGGGAGGACTTCTGATATGGCCGAACTGATAATCTGACTGAATCCTTCATTGTTTAAAAGACCAGTCACATGAAGCTACAAATGAAGAAAAAAAATTAAAAAACAGCTCATTCTCAAATCAACTTACATCAACGGTATCCAAGTTGAAACCAAGATTTAAATCCTTAATTCCAAGTGGGCTAAAACTTGCGGCGGCTGAACAATTCAACACAATATTTTGTGACGTTAGTCTATAAGAGAAGTTTTAAAACGGCTTAGGTATCTCATAATAAAAATCCTTACGTCAAATTTCCATGACCATACAACGGGACAAAGCTGGCTTTCATGCTTAAGTCATATTCGCCAATAGAAACTGTTAAGTTTTCGAAAGCTATTACAATTGCAATAGTTGGCGGGAACATGGTCACTTTAAGCTCTTTGGCCACAAATTTTGAAATTCCATGCACTTGCATGTCCTTTGCCGTAAAATTCAGCCTAAAAATTAAATTTAGTACTAACTACAGAGAGAATTGCCTTGAACTTACCTTATGGTACCATTATCGATGGTCTGAGTTAGTTCAGGTATTATGTAAGGATCTTTCTTTGCCAAATCCGCAGCTACTTTGTTTAAGGTATTGTTGATTTGATCTTCAAGAAACCCCCTAGTAGAGACTAAAAAATTGTTTGTTATGCAACCTGGATGGTTCAACCTTTAGGCATACCTATGGGCACCACAGTGTTAGCTGAGGCGAACGCGAATATGGCAATGAAGTATGTTAACAACATGGTTGTTTGCAATAAAGTGGATCTCAATTAATTTTTTTTTGAATTTATACTTTAAAATTCGTGATGTCATGCTGTTTCCGATAAGATCCTAGGTTAGTAAAACCAATTTATAGGCACTTGGTGATAAGATATTAAATGCCAAGAGTTTTTTGCGTTTTACACAATATCAAATGTAAATGAAGAGCTCGTGATGCAGCGAAATTCTACAGATAGCTGCTTTTCCTGGTTTAGTTCTTTACGCAGCTTAGCGCAGCATTACTTTGTATTGAAGGGTTAGAAACAGTTATTATGCAAACATGGAAGGGGATTAACGCTGGTTTCAGTTGATGATGAACCAGTTTTATCACCACTACAAAATCCTCACGTGGTTCTTTAAACTCTTAAACAGTCTACACCAAGTGACGATGTCTGTTGTAAGGGTAACTCAAACCTCAATTACGGACTAACTTTTGTTAGAAAGCGAAAAGTTCCTTTATAAAATCATACGTACATGCCTATCATCGCCACGATACCTTTTTCAAATTTGTAAAGGCAAAGGAAGGTTCCCAAAAGCCTACAAATGCAATAATTTAATATTAGTCATTAATAACTCCGCTCCGCATAAAAGTTATAACGTGAATTTATCTCCGGCGAATATTGGGGATGTTCCAGTTGGGAAGAATTGACCAGCTTGTCCTACACGATTTATTGTGGACACCTAACAGCGATCTTTACTCGGCCCAAAAAGTATTCTCCTTGCTATCGAGTTTAAATTACCGGAATGACAGAGGTGGCCAAGTAAATGGTCAATGGGATCGGTTAATGGCGTGAAAAATATGCCGGGATAGGAATCGGCCAAATGGCTAGGTACGAAATAGATCACAATAATTATGACTACTATTTAGTGGTACCAGTTGTGAAAATATCTTATTTCTTCTAGATTATAACAAAATTGACCTTCGGTGATGTTGCAATTAATCAAGTACATATTTCCTTTATAGGTACATTATCGCGGATATCATTATCGAATGATTAAACGATCTTATGATAAGATTCGATTAATTGTTGCCAACCGATTGACAAATAAAACTATTGAAGTTAAAGTTTTGAAGTTAATAACATTAACAATACCGTTTTTGAAACTAGGAGGAAAATGCAATCAATAGAAAATGCTTAGGTATTAGATTCACATTCTACCGGACAAAGAAACTCAATGTTCTAAAATTCTGCATCGCTGGTTAATTACTGTACTGTATCTAGGTGCCTAAACAACCTAAACGAATTTACCTAGAAGCCTGTGTATATGGTATGGAAACTCAAGTTTAAGTAACTTAAGTACCCTTGTAAGATATCATGAGTACCTATGTTTTGTCCGATACTAAGCATGAGGGACCCTGAAACTAGTAGAAATAAAAATACCATAAATTGCGAAAAGAACTAAGCTTTACAGGCTGTTCGTTTTGGAAAACATGCAAATCTAACCAGATTCTTGCAAAAACGATTATTTTTATTTTTACGTGACAACATCACTACGAAAAAATTTCATTGCAAAAATTAAAGCTATTTTTGAAATGGTAACCATTATCGGCTACCCCATAAATAAAATGTCCTTTTTTTCAAAGAATCTATCGTACACCACTTACATTGGACAATAAATCATGGTAATTTTCTTAAATTTTCAAGTAGTAGATTATGACCATAAATAGGGAATATGCATGTGGTTTAAATTTACTTGATTCTTTCTCCCGCGATTATTTATTGTCCTGGCATTATACTTGAACCATTACTTTCTTATTTACTTTGTTGCAAAAAATGTTAAGTCAAAAGTGCAAAATAAGCGAACGAAATTCAAATTTGCGAAACGCATTACTATTGGACGAATGAAAGTGACGTCAAATGCCATGCGATCGCATTTTTTGTGTCAATATTCATAAGTAGTCGATTCAAATTACGGTTTGGGCAGATTGGGCTGGGTGTTACAATTTCACTCAACGAAATCAAGTGTATTATATGTAAAAAGATCCGCTGAATCCGAAAATCATACTCTCCCTAGCCGAAAACTCCCGGAATACATAGTTATGTATAAACAAAAAACGAAGAAAAAATGGCAATATGTCGTTTCTTTTCGCATTTGACTTCAATTATCTCGGTAACTATTGCTCTAAGGGAAAAAATGAAGAGAAATGAATTTGTTTAGAATTGAATTTTCTATAAGATACCTACAGTTGGTATTAAACGTTCATTTTCAAATGTTATTGTTTTTTATGGAAAAATATAAAAAAGCAATCCCGAAGATTGTCGTTTGGTTACTACTTATTACTAAGTAAAATTCATCCGATTCTTTTGAAAACCGTATATATGGTATGGTTTTTTAGCTTTTTCCATGGTTTGAATAGCTATTACAACTGAAAATCTGTATAAATATCTCAACACTAAAAGTAAACAAATACTGGTCGTGGCTTGTGACGTCATCCAGGGTCCGCTGGCGGCGTTCAAACACATCGAATAAAGTCAGTTTTAAATATTATTTTACAAGTTAAATTGAATTGTTCTAACAGTGTTTACACTTTTTACTATGTTAGAACGATGCAAAAAATTTAAAAAAATACATGCATATTCCCTATTTTGATAGATGTCAATTTTTTCTTGCAGTAATTGTTCCAACTACGCCGTCGAAAAAAATTCTTGGCAGATCAGCTTCCTAAAAATCGCGCGTTTGGAGGTGTGTCTTCAAAAAATGGTAAGTGTAGGAAAAAATGTCTCCCACGAAAGTTTATTATTCTCTGATGTAGAATAAAAAGTATAAGTGAAAAAATTAGTCACTCTACACTTTACCCTTAGGGGACACGTATGTGATAACATCATTAAATGGGCCTCTCCATATGAAGAATATTTTATGTAAATCATTCTTTGATATCCCCGCTAGTTTCCGCAATAATCGATTGTTTCAGTATAATTGCGACACCTTATATATAAATTAATTAAGTTACACTCAAACATAAGATTACAAAAGTAGTAGTCGCAAAGTTTACCACGACTTACAGGTCGGTAAAACTGCTTTTTTGAAAAGTATCGTATATTATATAATGGCCTGCTATTGGTATTAATGTAATGTACCAATTATCCGTATTGAAAGTGTAACTGTTGATGAAGTCACCACAACTTAAAAAATGGTAACACATCTGGTCCTGATCTTATTCCAGCTTTTGTGTTTGCTGAACCTTTAACTTGTATATTTTACCTTGCATTGGCTACTAATGTATTTCGCGGTAGCTGGAAAAATGCTAACGTTACGCCTGTATTTAAATCTGGAGACTCCAGCGATGTTGGTAATTACAGACCAATCAGCATTTTAAGCAACTTCGCCAAAATTTTTGTCTGAAACTTTATTAAACCTATTTAATGTTAGTAGTTTAGAGGATAGAAGAATCAAAGTAGTATAAATTTGCTATTTGCATTTTGTGCATGAAAAACTAGGTGGGTAAGAGGGAGTTTTACACTTAAAAAGTGCTACATCTTGTAGGCCCACATTTTCAACAACCTCCAGGCTTTTGATTATAGTAGGCTTGCTCGCCGTCCTCTGTGTTTTATATTCCAATATAGTGGCCTCATCTTCCAAAAAGATTAAGTTTAAGTTTCGACTTGCAGATTTAAGTTTAACCAAATAGTTGATGGTACCTACCTAAGTATTTCTCTCCTTACGTATAATGGTGGAAATCCTGATTCGGCAAAAATTGAAAAGATAGGGTTTGTACGGAATGCCGCTATAGCCATTTTGATGCCACTGGCGTGTACTCTGTCCAGTTTCCTTAAGTGTGTTTGGCGAGCCGAGGAATACACATAATCATCATAATCAAGGACGGGCCATACAAATGATTTGTAGAAGTTAAGGAGGCATTTTCTATCAAAGCCCCAATTTGTGTTCGATAAACACCTTAGGATGTTTATAGTCGTGTCCTGCATTTTGCTTCTAGCATTTCAATATGCCGCTTAATAAATAACGGAAGATTTTCTCTTAATCCCCATTGATGAAGCTTTCTAATTATATTATACATCCCTCTCAATATCAAAGGCAACCGCAATCATATGCTGCCTACGAAGAAAGGTATACTCAATAAGGACTAATTGATCTAGCGTCGAGTATAAGTGACGAAAACCGGTCTGTTGGGTAGATAGTAACGACTGTGTCTCCAATAACCACATCACCCTGTCATTAATCATCCTTTCCATTACCTTGCTCAAACAGGAAGTTAGAGATATAGGCACCCCGCTGGACCTAGCCCCCCCCCCCCACTATTGTGAATCAATTTAAGAATGGTATCCAATGTATGAGTTATTTAGGAGCTCTTCATATCGCAAACTTAAAACTGCAGAGCTCGCTTAAATCACTAGGAATCTAAAATTTCTTATGGAGTGGCCGAGTGTATTTGGATTCAGCCCCCCCCCCCCCCGGATCTTCTGTAAATTACTTGATTCTAAGGTAATCAGTGGAGAAAATTCGCAATGTTTGCTAACATTTCCCAATACATTGTTAATACATCTTATTATTGTTTCCTGTTATTTGTTTTAATCAATTTTACTGGTCAAATTTGATTGATACATTTTTATAATTACTAGGTAAACATTTACTAATTTAAAAAAAGTTCTTATCTTTTCAAAAAATAATTGTACATTTAGCGTATTCTTTCTATGCACGGCCCATGAAGGTTTTTTTCCGAAGAGACAAAACTGCTGGTGAAAATGTAACTAACACAATAACACATGCCTATACATATTGTCATTGCAGCCTATCTTCCATTTTTATGGGTAGAACCATATTCAGCACGAATAAGCATGAGATGTCACATGGACATCAAGCGATCGAATTTACTCCTTTTGGTCTGTAAGTATCGATATTGGCATCGCTTGTGCGGTATCATAATTCGGTTTTTTAAATCCTTAATTCAGTAGTGAAAATTAAAAATTTTTGACACACAAGTATTCCTCCCTGTTGATATCAGCTCATATTGAAACAAATATATACTGTGCACTGCTCTTGTGCAGATAAAGTGCATTTTTAAATCACGAGTCCTTCTCTTCCCCGAACTTCCTATTTTGATAAGGGTAAGAATGGGGGGAATTAAAACAACTAAAAGTGATGGGCGTCTGGTGCACCTCCAAGGTATAGGCTACTTATTGCAACAAATTCCGCCAATTATTACATTACATCGCCCTCGGAAACTTAAAAAAAATATATATCGTTGGATGTCAATGTATTTTTTTTTTCCATCTCTGCGACTAAAATTAAATACTTACTATGCTAATATGCTAATTTACAATAATGAAATTGTTTTAGAAAACTTACATCTGATACAACTTAACTCTATTTTTATGTTTCAAACGGACCTTTAAATAATGGGTCCATTTTATGATTACATTCGTTTTTTAACAAAATCTTATCTCCTACCTTATAATCTGTAACTACACTTTTCAAATCAGTAATTTTTTCGTCTGTACTTTGAATTTAACAAATTTTGTCTAGCATCTTGGCATGCTTGTTGTAAACGGTATTTAAATTGAATTGGATAACTATCAAAATTATACATTGGATCAGTTTTCGTTGTTATATTTGAAGGAATTTTTCAAGTTTTACCAAAGAGTAATTCGAAAGGTGTGTAACGCGTTTCAGTATGAACCGAATTGGTGTACGCAAAACACCAAAATGATACCCATGTACTCCATGCGTCTGGGTGATTAGCAATCATCTGCATTCTGAGATATGAACCTAAATTTGTATGAGAATTTTCCAAACGCCATAAAGTTTGGTGGTGATATGCTACCATTCCCCTAAAAGTAGTTCAAAACCTCACAGATGGGCCCGGAGGGGGGCCAAAACGCAAACAATTACACATTTCTTTTCTTTCTTAAAAAAATGCGCTAAAAATACCGCTTTCTGTTGCCACATAGTAATGGAAATAAACAAAATTCGCTAAGTTGATGTGAAGATTGCGGGACTCTATCAAAAGGCATAAGTACTCAAACGGAAAAAGTAAATAGTCCGAAATTTGTTAAAAGTGCGAGAATTTTTTATATCTGCCACTAATTACCGGGAAAACCGACGAATTTTGCCGCTTTGTTTGATACGGATATTCATTTTGGTGGTGCCTCGCTAACTTGACACAAACTTTACTTTTGAATTGATGCTGATTGAGACTTATGAAGTGTTTCGTAACGATATTACATCGGAATTGCGGTATTGTACTTTCTCCTTATGTTGAGGTCATGCGGTTGTCTTGCCCTATCACACTTTTTGAATGATTTTATGCACATAGATAAGCAGTTTAGTGGTGAAAAATGTTAAAAAAATCAAAAAAGGAGTCACATTTTCACACCACAACTATTCCGCCTAGGGGTATAGCTAAAAAATGGGGCCACTATTTGATACCTTCCCAAACAAATTTCTTGAAGAATCTAGATAAAATTTTTATTAAATAAAATAACAAACATTAGGTAATTATATGGTAGTTTATCTAATCCATGTCATTAGGAACGAGGTAACAATGTGCCAGGATAATGCCAGGTAGTTTCTTTTGTTTTCCCTTGCAAGTAATGGGATATTTCCTTAGGAGTATTTGAGTTGCCTACAAAGCATCTTCACAGAGAAGACATCCCTTGGAAGCCGGCGCAGTGTACTAGGTACCGTTGCAGTTCCATACAAAGGAGTCTGTCTCTGTCGAGTCAGACAGGATCTTCGTTTGTTGTGTCGCCGTTTACGTTTACCAAAATAATTAAAATTGAAACCTTTGTTAATCTTAGATTCAAAATGTTTATTGTTGTGTTCATAAACCCGTTAATAAACACTACAGACACCAAAAATCATAACCGATGTGACAATGCTTAAATTATATCATCTTAACTCTCGCTTGCATATCTATATGTAATCGTTGACTAAGTCTTCCACTTGTTTTGACACAAGTTTGGCAATAACGGTACCATACCTATGTATATACCCTGGGAGGACCTCTGATATGATCGAACTGATCAACTGACTGAACTTATCATTGTTGAAAAGACCAGTTATATTAAGCTACAAATGAAGAAACGGGTTTAAAAACCCATCATTCTTAAATCAACTTACATCAATGGTATCTAAGTTGAAAGCAAGAGTTAAATCCTTAATTCCAAATGGGAAAATAGTTGCACCGGCTGAACAATTCAGGACAATATTTTGTAATGTTAGTCTACAAGAGAAGTCTTAAAACGGCTTATCTCATAATACAATTCCTTACGTCAATTTTCCATGCCCATACACCGGGACAAAGCCGGCTTTCATGCTCACGTTATACTCGCCAATAGAAATTGTTAATTTTTCGAAAACTAATGCAAGTGCTACAGTTGGCGGCAAAACAGTCGCTTTAATATCTTTAGCCACAAATTTGGAAATTCCATGCACTTGCAGGTCCTTTGCCGTAAAATTCACTCTAAAAATTAAATTTAGTGCTAACTACAGGGAGAATTGCCAACCTTACTTTATCTTAGCATTATCGATGGTCTTAGTTAGTTCAGGGATTATGTATGGATCTTTCCCTGCCAAACTCGCAGTTGCCTTGATTAATGCGTTGTTGATTTGATTTTCAAGAAACCCCCTAGTAGATACTAAAAAAATGATTGTTAAGCAATTTGGGTGACTCGACGTTGAGGCATACTTCTAGGGACCACAGCGTTAACTGAGGCGAACGCGAATATTGCAATGAAGTATGTTAGCAACATGATTGTTTACAATTCACTGGAGATCAATTCACTTTTTTTTTAATTTATAGGTCCTCGTGCTCTTTCCGATAAGATCCCCGTTAATAAAATTCTTAAACACGTGTGATAAGATATTAGCTCTTCACTTAAAAATAGTAAGGATTTTTGCGTTTTACACAATAGCAAGGGAAATTCGCGAGCTCGAGACGCTGTGATTTTCAAAAAATATTTGCTTTTCCTGGTTAATGTCCTTTACGCAGCTTAGCAGACCATCACTTTGTATTGAAAGGTACTATTCTGCAAAAATGGAAGGAGACGCTACGTTTAGTTGATGTGAAACGAGTTTTATGACTACGAAATCGTTACATATTCCTTAAACCCTCAAACAGTATACCTACACCAAATGGCGATGTTTTATGTTAGGCTAACTCAAAGCTCAATTATCGACTAATTTTTATTGCAAAACGAAAATCTCTTTTATCAAATCATACTTTCAGCCTGTTTTAGACTATTTGGCTTGTTATTCCTTTTCAAATGACTTCAACTCTTAAAACATACAAAAAAAGGCTGTCATTTCAAGTAAAAGGGCCCGCTGTTTACAACAAGTATGCCTACCATTTTTCCGATACCCTTTTTAAGTTTTTAAAGGTAAGGGATTAATGTCGCACAAGTCGTTCATAACGTTCCTCGTTAAGAAAAATCTCACAAAATTTTAAGGTGAATTGTCTCCGACGAATATTGGGGATGTTCCAGTAGCAGAGGATTGATCAGTTTGCGAGTTCAATAGACAATTCCCATATAATATATGCGGTCTCAAAATAGTTATTTATATTATATATAACAATTTCGCGCATTGAGACTGAATGTAGGTATTTTATACATTTTATATAAACAACAGTAAAATGCGCAAAATAACTTCGCGCTATATACAATATTTTTTCTACAACTGAACCGATTGTTAATTAAATTTGCTGTTTAAGTTCAACTTTGTCATGTGTGCGAAATACTTTTTAGCGCATTTCCACAAAAATAAAAAAAAATGCGCTATTGTGGCCACTTTGTCCGCCCGTCCGTCCGCTAGTTCGTTGAGACGCTACTAGTTCTTTATCTTAAGAGCTATTCTACTTTTTTCGCTATTTGGTTCGTTATAGTGTCGAGGCTTACATCAAGGAAGGAATTTTTTCTGGTTTTATTGCTAAAAAAGTTATTGCAAAAAAACCAAAAAACCGTTTTTTACATGTTCCATAATTTTACACTTTCGCCGTTTATTAACGATCCTAGAGATCGTTTATAATTTTGCATTGCTGTCTGTCGTCTGCCTGTTGGTCTGTCCGTCTGTTCCTTTGTCTGTCTGTCCGTGTCAGGGTCCGTATGGACGTAACTTTGACTAGAAATGTCCGATCGCTTTTACATCTCCGTTAGTTATGAATTGAATTGCATGAAATTCAATATGGATATAGCTTTAGCCATATAATACGCAATGCTAAAAGTTAAGGCGAATCGATTCAAAATTCACAGTGCCCTTTTCGCATCTCGACCATTTATAAACCGAATTGCAAACTTTTTTAATTATAAAAGTATTTAAATGAAATTTGATACATAGCCACTTGGAATAAAAGCAAATTTAATGCCAGTTTCAAAATTTGATTTTGCGAATGCGTAGTGCCAACTTTTTTATTTATGGAAGCATTTAAATGAAATTTGATACATAGCCACTTGGAACAAAGGAAAATCTAACGTTAGTTTCAAAATTTAGGTTTGCGCATGCACAGTTCCAACTTTCTTATTTAGAAAAGCATTGAAATGAAATTCTTCTTATAAACTTATAAATTTGATACATAGGCACTTGGAATACAAGCAAATCTAACACAAGTTTTAAAATTTGGTTTTGCGCATGCGCAATGGCAAGTTTCTTATTTATGAAAGCAGTTAAACGAAATATCATACGTAGGCACCTTGAATGAAACTAAAACTAATATCGTTTCAAAATTACTGTTAACGCATGCTGTATGTTTTATTTATGAAGGTATTCAATGAAATTTCTAATGTAGACAATGCGAAATGCTATTTACGAAAGCATTTATAAAAAATTCCATATGTAGACACTTCGAATAAGAGTAAAACTAATGGCTATTTCAAAATTTGTATGTATTTGTATACGCTGCACTATTTTTCATTAAGCTGTATAGGCTTCGACGATAGGCGGCTCATTTGAAAGAGAAAGGGGTAAAGATCTCGTGCCTACCGGTATTTTTTCCTGGTCCGAGCATTAATATTATTAGGAGGAAAATACGCTCTCGTCGTTTACGTTTGCATAATGACTTTTTAAACTTGTTTTTAATTGTTGACGGTTTCGCGCACGTTCTCAATGAGCAACCTTACTTATTAATTAACTGTTTCAAAATCTAGTACTTTGTGTCGAAATTCGTGTCACAGGTGTCACTTTCCTATCCAGGGACAAGATGTGTGGCAACCAGAGATATAGGATGTGGCAACACACCGAAGAAAGAGTTCGAGGTCAAGGATGCAAAAGAGAAAACTATAATTATTAATGTATTACAGATAAGCACTTAGATTTGGTTAAAGATACAAAAACATCGAAAGTAAGTTGTCGTTGTAAAAAATGAAAAATTAGAAAATCTTTTCGGTGCACTCGCAAGGAAGCTCTGGAGCGTAGATTGAAAGGTACACGCGACTGACAAAGTATATTACTTGCTTTAATCCGTAAGCAACGAGTACGAAGCAGTAATTACGGCAATTGAAACTATGAACACATATGTAACCATATAGACTTTGTCAAAATCAAGGTCAAAATAGATCAAGAGTTGAAAATGACAAACAAGAGTAGTCCTAAAGTTGGTAGTAATGAGGCATCATTTAAAGCATCTCTGTTATCGTGTTATAGCAGTGGTAAGAAAGGCCACAAATCGTAAGATTGTCGCTCCTAACAGTCGATTCCTACACAGCAGCAAAAGGTGTACCTATGCATAAGCACGCAGAGCAAGAGGATATGAGAGAGGAGGCAGTTATGGACGAATTTTTCTCCACTACAACAAGCCAATCAAGCGGAAGGTGAAATAGCATTTATATCCCTAAACTGTTGCGAAATTAACAAAGTAAATAGAAATGAAATCTTCGTCAATGATTCTGGGGCAACTCAACACTTAGTGTTCCAGAAATTTGAAGAAATAATGTCGTCGTTTTTTTCAAAATGGTGATGAATATTGGTTAAAACCTCTTTCCAACACCCAATCACAAATGGGCTGTGACCTTCACTCAACGGTTAATTCAAAAAATTTTAAGCTGGCAGTTCTCATAAAGTTGAGATGACCTAATGCAGAGTGGCAAATGCAATCCAAGAAGCCTCATTAACCAGAAAATATCTGCACCTAATCGACACAATGAGGCACCTTCAATTGTTAAAAATAGACTTATTAATATCGGACTACGCCAACACGGATGTACATTCCTGGACTCCAATCAACCAAATTAAAACTTCCTGGCCAATATTTCGCTGGGAGAACATTCTAGCTAGCACCTTGACAATTTTTTATAGATTAAAATTGTAATTTTCGCACAAATCGAAATACGTCAAGCTCTGGTACAAACCTTCCAAAGGTTTCTGCCCTTTTGACTTCGAGAGTTAGGAGTTCTGAAGGGTCAGTTTTGTACTTGCAGGAATATTTGCTAGAGAGGTTTGATTATTATGAATGAGAAGCTGGTTTTAGGTAGTTTACAATAAAACTAAATACAGTAGATAAGTACGTTTCATTCAAAAGAAATTCATCTCGAATTTTGACCTCCTTTGCTTAGTGCTATGCTAACTATTAACAATAAATGTGATATTATCGATGAATTGCTCCATTATATATATAAGTATACAGCAACATTCAACGTTTTATTAATAAATGTGATATCTCCACCCTCGCTAATTAGGTATCAAACCGTTGATTATCTCTTCCACAGGTTTTGCTACCATTTGTCCAATCATGGCCCCATGCTTTTGTAAATGCCCTGGCACAGTATCTGATATGACAGAACTGATAATCTCACTGAACTCTTCATTGTTTAAAAGACCAGTTACATTAAACTAATGAAGATAAAGATTAAAAACACCTCATTCTTAAATTAACTTACATCGAAGGTATCCAAGTCGAATCTAATTTTCAGATCTGTAACTCCAAGTGGATCAAATCTAGCGGCGCCTGAACAACTCAAGAGAATATTTTGTGATGTTAGTCTACAAGAGAACTCTTAAAACGGCTTATCTTATGACACAGATTACGGTAATCTGTGCTTATTATCAAAATCCTTACGTCAACTTTCCAAGTCCATACACCGGGGCAAAGTCGGTAGTAATGTTCACGCTATACTCGCCAATTGAAACTGTTATGTTTTCGAAAGCTACTGCGATTGCTACAACCGGCGGTATGACGGTCAGTTTAAGCCCTTTGACCGTAATTTTAGAAAGTCCATGCACTTCCACGTCCTTTGCCATGACGCTACCATCATTGACGGGAAAATTTAGTGTAGGTATTGTGTAAGGATCAAACTTTTCCAAATCCAGAAGTACATTGCTTATGTTGTCGACGATTTTATTTTCAAGCATCCTAGTGAAGACTAAAAAATTGTTTGTTATACAATTTGGTTGGTTCAACATTTAGGCATATGTACCTCTGGGCGCCACAGCGTTAACTGAGGCGAACGCGAATATTGCAATGAAGTATGTTAGAAACATGGTTGTTTGCAATTCACTGGAGATCTATTAACTTTTTTTGAATTTATAGGTACTTGTGTTGTTTCCGATAATGTCGTTAGCAAAATCTTTAGACACGTGGTGATAAGATATTAGCTCGTTACTTCAAAATAGTAAGGTTTTTGGCTATTGTTGAAGTCCTTTGTGCAGTTTAACGAACCATCACATTGCATTGAAGGGTTAAACGGTTATTCTGCAAAGATGGTAAGAGATGGATGGTGTTTTTAGTTGATGTTGATGAACTAGTTTAATCATGACAACAAAATCTTTACATGGTTCTTCAAACCCTTAAACGGTATACACCAAGTGGCGATGTCTGATGTTATATGTTAACTTTTTTTCGTCTGTAGATTGTATTTAGCTTGGAATCGCTTAATGCCGTAAAAAAGTCGCTGGGATGGGAACCGTCAAAATGACTGGGTATACAAAATAAGCCGCAATTATGCTCGCCCTTTAGTAGTACCAGTTGCAGGATTGTGAAAATATCTTCAACTTCAACAATGATACTGATGTTGCAATTAATCAAAGTACCTACAATTCCTTGTACAAGTATGTTATCGCGGATATCATTATCGCATGATTAGACATTCATTTGATAATAATCAATAATTAATTGGTGCCGACGTATTGACAAATAAAACAATTGAAATTCAGGTTTTGAAAATAGCAGGGATAAAGATACTTTAAATACTAAAAATAATTGAGCTTTACAGGCTGTTTGTTTTGGAAAACATGCAAAGCTAATCAGATTCTTGCAAAAACGATTATTTTGATTTGTTTACATGAATGCAACATTATGGACTCTGGATAAAAACCATCATCGGCTGTAAATAAAATGTCCTTTTTTTCAAATAATCGTTTTTTGTTCAGATAGATGATGGCTCTTTTTCTTAAATGTTCAATATTGATAGATGCGCATTTTTTTGCAGTGCTTTTCAAACTGCGCCAATAAAAAACAAGATATGAAGACTCGCATACGATTTTTAGTAGGGGAATTTTTTGAAACACGGCTCGCATTAGGAAACACGACTTTTAATCCGGTTCATATTCAAGAGCACTGATCCTTGAACTCGCAGAAATCGATTGAAGCAGGTTTGACATCACTGTCTCTTTTCGTTCTCGAGTATAATTTCCAGGAGAGGGAGCCTTATATAAAAATAGTTGCTTCAAAGGAAAGAGAAACATACAAAATTATTTCCAGGAAACAAATCGCTTAAAAAATAGCGACAGAGTTTTACTTTCAGGAGAGGGACGCTACTTGAAAGGGTCAAAAAGATATGGCGTCATAGAAATAACTTCAAACAAGCGTCAAAAAATTCCAAAAAAGTCACTAGAGAAACGTATAAAATTGTTTCCAGAAAAAAATGGTGACAGAGTTATTTTCAGGAGAGGAGCCTTTTACATAAAACAGCTGCTCCAAAGAGATGAAAAATATGGCGTCATTGAAATTTCTTTACCCAAAATTGTCATGAAACCTTCATTTTCACGCCTACTTTCTGTCAGGGAATTTTAGTTCCCATGAGGAAAGAGGCAGAGAAGACTACGTTTCCTGCCGTTGGTCACTTTACCGACCGCACTATTACTTTACCGATCGCACCTGTGACATTTCTAATGTCTATAATGACCCCTGTCATCACTGACAAATTGACATTAATCAAAAGTTCTATAAAAATTGAAATTTTATATTAAAATACGATTTCGGGTAAAATTCAATACAAAACCCGTCATTAAAATGACATTACGTGGCTAGAAATTTAAAGGGGCCTCGTACTTCGATATTTCTTTCTATGTAAATCGTGACAGAGCTTTACTTTCAGGAAAGGGAGCCTTATATAAAAACAGCTGCTTCACAGAGATGAAAAAATATTGCGTCATAGAAATCTCTTCAAATAAGAAACCGTTTAAAAAGGTGCCAGAAAACGTGTAAAATTTCATGCAGGAAAAAAATCGCTTAAAAAAATACCAACAGGATTTTACTTTCAGGAGAGGCTGCTTGAAAAAGATGGCGTCATACAAATCACTTCAAACAAGTGGCAAAGAAACCGTTCAAAAAAAGGCGCGAATCCGTGAAAAATCGGTTAAAAATAGTGTTCCCTGGAGAGAAAGTCGGCTGTTTCAAAAAGGGCATATAATTGTCCCTGAAAAAAACAACGTTATGGAATTCATTAAAAAATGCGCTGGAGGGACATTTATGAAGTCCAAGTTCCAAGCGAAAAAAAGCCTTTGGATCCACTATCCCATTTCCAATATTTCACATTACATGATGGACACTTGTCTCTTTTCTGATCCCTAAACGATTTAGTATGCTAGGTAAATATGCGTAATTTCTTTGTGAAAATCCGTCACTTCTTCTGGCATTCCAGATTTGTATAATCGCCTCCCTCCAATCCCTTATCCTATCTTGTTCTTTTATTCTCTGTCTTTACCTTTCCTTCGATATTTCATTTGTATCTTTCTGTCAACTTATTCTTTTCTCTCTCGGCCCTAACCTTTGTTTCTTCAAAAGTCAACTCGTCATCCCTGTGAGTATTCCTGGGAAAACTGACTTTTGACTCCACCCCTTACTTCTCAGAATTCCTCTTTTTTTTCAAGTTAATTTCGAGACTATTATTTAATTTGTCCTTACTTCAATCGTTCTCGCCTCTTGTACCTTAGAATCTACTTGTAAATTTTTTTCGATCATTCCTCCCATCTTGAGTCTCTGTTTTTCTTACTCCACCTCTACTCCCTTTCTCGTGATATAGTTCCATATCCTCTCACGTTCTTTTCTTCCGTTTTTTAAAGTCTAGTTTTAAGAATTTTTATCGCATTTTTTAAGAATTAAAAAAAATGTGCTATTGTTTGTGTTTTGTCCGTCCGTCCGGACCCACTTCTGCCGTTTCGAACTATTTCTAGAGGAATGGTCCTAGAGCCCTGGAATTTTGCAGTAGGTAGCCTATACCTTGAAGATGTGCCAGACGCCCACCAAATTTCGCTGTCTAAAAGGCCCCCACGAATTATTTCCTAAGATGCCGTTTTTAAAAATAAAACTACTTTACCTGTGATTACCGTGTGCTTTATTTCCAGGTAATTTTGTTATACATTTGCTCAAAGTGACAGTAATTATTATTGTTAGAAAGGCGATAGAAAGACGCACATATTTTACGAAGATTATCTCGGAAAATCTACAGTAGCTCCATCCAATTCCAAATAGGTAAAGCAAAATACATTCGACGAAACCGTCACCTGATATTCACTGAAACTTAAACGAAGTAAGAATTCGCAATGTATGCGGTTTGGATAATTAGTTGCGGTTTGATAGGGCTCAATTATATACTTACATAAAAACTTAACATCAGATGTGGTTCACAACAGAACAATCTATGATCTTCTAAAGCTCGTGCCCAAAGTTCAAGAATGCATAAGCATAAGTTCATAGATATTTTACATCCACTGTTTATTTTCTTATATTTGGATACTTGGGCCGTAAAAATCGGGGATTTTCTTCAATATTAGTATACAAACGGAGCTTGCTTACTTTCACAATCTAAGATATACTATAGATATATTAACAAAATATTTTTGAATTTGAATGTTGCAAACTTAGTGTGTTACCGATCAGAGAGCACGTGGCTCCAACTTTAAAGTCGATGCATTAGGTAGGTACCATAAAGATTTAGGGTGCTTTAATGCCACGTTTAATGCACACTATCTGACTATATTACTTCTTTCATTTCCGCTAAAGGGTAATTTCCAGAAAAATACTTACATCTAGATTACACTAATATTGTTTTGATGTGTTATTTTCCTGACTTTTATGTAGATAACTATTAGCTTTATAGAAAAACCAGCAAAAATCAATCAATCAAGAGCTGTTCAGGAAGTTGCACACATCATAAAATTGTGTTTTTCTATCATATCTAGCATGGAATCTTCAAATCTCCACCTACTTTCTTTACCTTACAAACGTACGCAATTACGAGGTTTTCGAATAAACCTCTTTTTAGGCAATTAGTTTGTTAGAGCTCATAATTCTGTGCAATTATACCTATCATAAATCAGTAGGTATAATTGTTATAATTTTCTAACAGGTGCGCGTAATCAATAATCTGATACGATTGTATAGACTCCGAAACTATTCATGCATATTATCAAAGATTAAATCTAATCATTTTCTTATTGGTATAATTAACCACAAGAAATCACTATCTTGCCCTAATATACTCCGTGCAACAGCGGCAAGTTACCAGAAGTTATTGCATTTTCCAACAGACAATGTCGCCCAAAACATTACTAGCCGTTTTAGCGCTGCTTAAGGTGGCCGAGGGAAATTTGTTGAATTTGAATTTAAAATTAAATGGTTTTGACTTGAATACCTTCACCAATACATCTTTGAGAGGTTTTACTACAGCAATGTCACTATTAGATCCACTCACACTGAAAAACGTGTCTAAATCTATCCACGGTGACAGCTTCAGGTAATAAGTGTGTGATGAGCTAATCTTTTACAGAAATATTAATTAGGTATGTTTCAGCGCCGACATTGTCGGTCATAAAGTTCAACTCAAAGGATTTTCTCACATTGTGGCAACTTTTATTAATACTGTGCTTTCCCCTCCGACTATAGAGACAAATTTACGATTCAAAAAGATAGAACTTAACATTCCTGCCTATACTTTGGCGGCCAAAGCAGCATTCGCAGACGTCTTCGGTAATGGAAGCCTAACGTATGTAGACAATTTTTCATAATTTACGAAACTGGGATGTACTTTTAGCGTCAGAATTGAGCAACTAAATGTATTTGGTACAGCACACGTTGAGTTAGGCATAACTGGCGTTAGGAAGGTGAAAGATCTCAAATTAACTCTTCGGCCATCCATTGTTGACGTAAGTAGACGAATCTATTACGTTAGAAGGTAATTGGTATTTTTAGGTAAAAGTGACGGGTTTGCTAAACAACGAGCCACTGAGCAAAGTTCTAAGTACTGCCATTACCAGTTCTATACCACCTTTCATGGAAAGATATAAAACCGTTATTGGGAATATGGCGTCTTCAACTATAAAGGACGTAATGAATGGTGTTCTTTCAGGTTCCATATTCTTCAGTAGTTAAGCCAAGTGTCTTGATATTGTTATCCATTACGAAGTACAATGAACATTAAAATTGAGCAAAACGAATAATTTTCTTTCTTTATGGGGAAATGAGATTAATATACTTAATAATAATGGAAAAGTATTACTGAATTTCTTTTAATTCGCTAAAAAGTCTATTTATAACGGAATTAATTGGTCTAAATGGTGGCAAAAAAATCTGATATGAACTGAATACCCCGCAGGGAGTTTGGTTTGAACAAACTTTGGGAAGTTGCGATCCCACGGACCCGAGCATGCGGAAAGTGGCAATCCCAGCCTCTCTCCAATATTAATACGTTGTACACTTTTTCCTGACACCAAACCTATAGATCGGACGTTTAATTCTTGATATAATTGTTAGAGTTTAATCAAACTGATAATTTTATCCAATTATAAAATATAACTATAATTTTCTACTACATATTAAACAATGTTGTAACCAGGTTCATAATTAATTCACGCATACGTAGAAGAATCCAAGAACAGACTTTATGCAGAAGCACATCCCCATAATCAAGCACAGTTATTTTAGAGAAAGGGCTTCTTATCTTATTATTCGACATTTGTTAAACGAACAAGTCTGTCATGTATGAAAACAATTATCACAAACACTAATGGCCGTTTGCATACCGACAAATTTAAGTGGAGCTTAGCTTAAGCGTAGCTTAAAATCCATGGCAACCATTGTCTCAATAATCGTTGTCATGGATTTTAAGCTACGCTTAAGCTAAGCTCCACTTAAATTTGTCGGTGCAAACGGCCATAAGTCTTCTATTTTTAGCACATTTTACAACAAAGTTGGGTGCGCTAAAAATTTATTCTTTGAAAGTTGCTTAAAATGATGTAAAACGGTGACATTTGATGCAATTTTTTGACATGTCCAAAAAACGGTGATCGCAATAGCTAGATATACCCTAGCCGATGCTAGGAAGCTAAAAATGGCTTCAAAAAGCATAATAGCACGGAAAGTCACAGGCCAACTATGGAGATCGACTTTTTTTCAGACTCGCCAAAATATTTACGGTCTCATAATCTGAGAATCGTTTGATTTTGGGTTTTGAATAGAGACGATACCCGGGAAGAAAATTCTTCTTTTTGCGTGTAGAAGTGACATTCTCGAAGAAGGATCTATGTATATCTAAACGCTAGGTAATCAAACATCAAATTTCTTTTCGCCAACAAATTTTCTAAATTAGAGCAGTTTAACAATGGTCGTTTTATCTAACAATTGCAACAGCAACTAATACAAAGAAAGATGAGTAATCTATGCAGGCGGGCGAATGTATTAAAATATGAGTAAGCATATTCAACAGAAGAAACAAGTTTCAGGTGATAACGCGTAATTTGATTTTATTTGTTGGCAGTTACCTAGGTCGTGATCGCGTTTAGGGGTCGGTTGTATCGATAGGGAACCGTTTACTCTAATTTTCGCAAAATTAATTAACTGTACTTATAGTGAATTAAACTATGACGTGCTTTGTGAGTGTGCATTGACAAGGTTTTGATGTCGTTTTCACCAAACGGGAAAGGTATGGAAATTTTACGTTTTTGGAATTATGGGGCAAATATTGGTTTCCATATTACTCAGCTACGTGGACTTGCTCAGCAACGGCGGCACAGATGAAAACTCTAAAAGGCTTTGCAAACGATTTTGTTTCATTTGGATACCAGAATTTTTATTAAAATTAAAAACAAACTCAAAATTAACGGTATAGGTACGTCCATGTAGCTGCTTACGTGTTACCAAGATTCTTTGTAGCCTATTCGATATCCCTGTTTCCTATTGAAAAATTATATTCGGGAACTACAGCTCAATTTGTTAATTGTACATACAGAATTACATGATAATTTTTCACTAGCGCATATTTATTTAATTTACTCTCGGTTGGTCCGTTTATAAAATGACAATTTTTATACGAGAAATGACCTAGTTTATTCCTGTATGCACGAGTATTATCCGAAAACGAAATTGTACAATGGTGTACCTGCTAGCTTCGGATCAAGGTAACACCCAACCCATAATTTATATTTATTTATTGATGTTTTATTTTATTTGATAGCAGAAGCCATAGAAATCATTTAAAGCTTCTGAAAATTATGTAGGTATTTAATTTAGACGTTCAAGATAGCAAGCTTAGCTTCTCCCATTGTTTCCATCGAAACAGTATTGTATTCTGTTCTGAACTCCATTTTATATAGTGCTCTGCGTTCTATTTTTGATAAGACAGATGTCATTGGAATGCATAATGATTTGTTTCATTTTATGTACCCTTGCCGTTAAAGTGATAAGTTTATCTACCCTTACGGTTAAAGGGAGACTTCACCTGCTCATTCAAACCTATTAAAATGTATATTTAATATTGTAAATTATAAATAAATCTTATTTATTGCATTGCGGTTGGTCACTGCCTTGACTCCCAGCTAGGACTCTTGCCCAAATATGAGTTTACTTTGTGTTGCAACATTTTTTGTTGCTGATAAAGATTGGTCTCTAACCATCGCCGTGGCCACTAAACATTTTTCCGACATGTACGGTTTCAGTATCTATCTATTTATTGAAATTTCATACAATATAAGCTAAAAAAGTTATTCGATAGGAGAAAATCTGTATACGAATGTAATTGCAAAACCATTTCCCTCCAGAATAATACATTTCCATAAATCAGAATGTTTTGAGTAGGTACCTATATTGTCAATTTTCTGTGTAATTTTTGTCTACCTTTTGGTTTAGGGGACAATTTCTTCACGTACGTAAAACAATAACTTGACATATATCTTATGATGCTGGCCTCAAACTACACAACACTAATGGCCGTTTGCACCACCAAATTTAAACTGAGTTTAGCTTATGACTCATAAGTTATGAGTAGATATTACCTTACTGTTAGGTATAGGATTACCTACCCTTAAAATCTGCCTGACGGTTACTTTTCATGGAAACACACGTTTTGATATAGGAGATTAATTGTGAAATAGAATAACTGCAACATGATAAACACTAAACAGCCCAAAGAAGCACAATCTCAAGACTGGATTTAGCAACGCTGATCTTCCTCATAAATTCGTGACTAAGATAAACCGTAGTCCGTACGCAGTAATGAGAAAACGAAAACTACGTTCGGAGTATGGGGAGAATGAAAATTTCAGCCTCTCTCCAATACCTATTAATAAATCTCCAATTTCTTACATCATATGTTTCCGTGGTACTCGCTTTTTCACTGTCGGTTCTATAGTGAAGGCAGAGAAAAAAGTTGAAAGAAAAAGTTATGCCTTTAAGAATGCAGTGTACAAACCGATTTTTTATTTATATGCTATAAATTATCTTAATTATGGCACACGCTGTATTTCACACTAAATACTTTTTATAATTTCAAAAACGGTAAAATTTAAATGTACGTATTTTGAAACATGAAGCTAGAAATTAAATCGTTTTGGCTCTTTTTTAGACGATTAATGTAATTACTAACATGGGGTCGGTCAATTGAAACGTTTAGGTGTTTTTCAAATATTTTTCTGGCATCTGCCTACAGTTTCAGTATTTCTGTATCGACCTGTTGGGAGTAGGTAAAATTGTATATTCGATGGGAGAAAACAGTAGTGTAGTGCTCCACTCTACTCTATTTATTAGTGTAATTTTTTATACAAATGTCATTACTTACATTCCAATTCTACAGTATGATTGATTTTGTGTGTCCAAGCGTATATTTTTTTTATTATTGTGGATATAGAAAAAACTGTAAAACGTAAAAATGCTCTACTCTGACAAAAGCTACATATTCAAAAGAACAAGTGAAATAAAAAGAAAAGAGCATCAGAAAACAATTTTTTTAATAGAATGGTTACTTTTGTCTGAAATATTCATAAAGAGCTCAAATATGTTAGGTATATTTATTTTAGAAATTAAAGTTACAGTAATGTGTTCAGAATCAATCGCAGTAGCGATGGAAATTTAAACAAAAACATAAAATTTACAACAGGAAGCGAAGAAAACAAATGAAAAGCAGTTACATAAATAACTATTATAACTTAAGACATATTTCAATACATTCCACTTGCTTCCTATGATGTATTATTATTACATCGAATAAAAACTTCACATTTTGATTGTGTAATTATTATTTTGTTTCATTGGGGTTGTTATAAGTTATACTGTTCACTAAACTAGTTTTGTGACAGACATGACAAGTGAAAAACTCTCTTTTGTCATTGTTTAGGTAAATTTCCACAGTTACTGTGATTGGTTTTAAAAACATTACTGCGTGTAGCTTTAATTTCTAAGGTAGGTAATCGTATCCTACTTGATATCATTGTAAAGAGAATTTCAAGCTGTTGAAGGATATTGGAAAAAAGTAACCGTTCTATTTAAAAAAATTATTGGACACGTTAAATCAATCACACTGTATAATGCCCATTAATTTGGAAATTCCCTCTTCCTTTATTATTTATTATAATTGCTGATCAGTCATTTCACGAAACATCTTGTCCCACCCTTTCCACAGTCAATCATCACATTTAAAACGAACCGTATACACATCCATAAATCTTCATATTTAAGTAATTTATAATTTTTGTGTGTAATTTTTTCTCCCCCATTAGTTTTTGAATCATACTATTTTCTGAAATAATTACATAAAGCAATAACTTGGCATCGAGCTTGGCATCTATCGTGCGTAGGTATCTTATTATTTTGATTCTACATTGAGAGCCTGTCTTACCTGTCTGATATTTAACCTTCGTGGAAACATAATATGAGAGTTCATCCCTCAGATAAGTAACCATGTAACAAACAAACAAACAAAAAGCGGAAACTGCGTTAGGGCTTTCCGATGTTGTTGGTCTGTGAATATTATATGTTTTTAAAGCCTGCATATCAATTAAAAAATGGCAAATTTCCGTTTTCGTCACCGACATTGTATTGCCAAATTAAATTACGTGATACTTTTGATCTCTTTTAGTTAACTTGCGCGAAATTGTACCATTGGACACTGAAATATTGTGTTTGTTAAACTAAAAACTAGGTAATATCTGAAAAATGCATTCCGACATAATATATCTAATGAAATAGTGCTTTTTTTGTTAATCCGTGGGCTAAAGCAACATATTTAGCCTTCCATATGAGGAACTAAAGAGTCACCATATTGTTCCCGGGATATGCTCCGTAGGATGAGTAAGGGGAGGAGGCCAATATTGAGGGATGCAAGGTTGGAAGTTATCCTAATTTAATAATTTGCCATATACATCAGTCAATCAAATCTATCTGACTTCAAACTGGCAAAACTGTTTAATTCAAATTATAAAAAGTCTTCCCCATTTTGACGTTAAAAGAATTTGATTGATTGAAGACATATAAAGAGATAGGCAAATGACACCACGTAAACATGTCTATAGAGTTTTGAGAAATATCAGATACCTCAGACATCAGTACCTACCTCTTGTTAGGTAATACCCAAGATATCAGTAGGTACCTTTTTGTTAAGCAATACTTCGGCTGTGGTGCAACCTATTTATTTTCATCTTGTCTTTATCTTTATTTATCGAGGACTTGAAGTTGTTTACAGCTCTACAATTGTTATTACCTGTATTAATTCATTAATTTAATCTTTAAAAAAGAGCATCGAGAGATAACACTATCATGTTAAGAGACATTCGGATAAACGATTACATTCAGATAGCTTATGGTACTTTGAATGCGCAATAAACTTCGTCTTAATTATGAAAACAAAACCAAAGCGGCGACAAAAACTACTGCTAAAGCGTTTTCAATGTGGGAGATAATCAACTCGCACAGACTTTCAAATATCGTACCTGTCTCCATTGTTAGCCTAAGTCCTGATGCATTTAATTGTTTGTTTTTTGTAAGTATGGCTAAAAAAATAGTTGACATCCCAAAAACAAAAGGTCGCGCTCTAGAGATGTGCAAAGTAAGCGTTAATTCAGTTGTTGAATTTAGTTTTTATGAAATCTCTCACAGATGTATGCCGAGGAGTCTAAAAATTAGTAAATCTAAAGGTATTTAGGGTGTTTCAGCTTATTCTACTTAAACAAAACATTAGTGTGTATGTTTCGCTTTTAAAAAAGTTACTAAACGGCCCATTCAGTTCTGCCTGTTTTCAGTTTCCCTGATGTTGTGAAGATTACATCGGTTGTGCCTTTGTCAAGTTATGTTTGATGCGGCAAATTATAGGCCACCAAGATTTTTCATTGCTACGATGTTTAATTTTTTCGGTCTTATAATCTTCCGTTATCACATTTGAAGAGGTAATTCATGCTTATTAATAATAATAATAATAATGCCTTTATTGAGCTACACCTTACACGAAAAAAATTGTTTTTATTACCAACTACTCACTACTCAAAGGGCAGAGTTCAGATTGTAATAAAAATTATTGTGAAGGGTATAATGTCAAAGATTTTACAAATGTAAATATCTAATCGCAATGGATATCACATGAGTGCGACTCTGTATATAAACGAACACTTGCCGTTTCTCTAGCCACGTTTTAATCGGTGTCGCATCCCCTACGTTCGGTACCAGAACCACTATATTTGAACGGATTTGTGGCGTGGAAATTACACTTTAAAGGTTAACTCCAATAAATATGTGAAACATCTTTAAAGTAAATTATTTTATTTTATATGCACCTATTTTTAAAAAGAGTTCAAATACCTCTACGCATAGGCAAAATGGCGAACAGCAAATTTGAATATGTGAGAAATTTTGAGTCTGAAGACCGACTTCTACCAAATTGTTGGATCATTGTGCGAATAGATGGCAAGAATTTTCATAAATATTCCTCTAAGCACAATTTCACCAAACCCAATGATGCTCGAGCTTTAAACTTAATGAATAGATCCGCTTTTTGTGTAATGAAGGAGTATAAAGACATTGTATTATCATACGGCGAGAGTGACGAATACTCATTTGTGCTTCGTAAAGAAACTGAACTTCATAACCGCAGAGGGACAAAGTTATTGACACATATTACCAGTTTATTTTCGTCGTCGTACGTTTTTCATTGGCGCGATTACTTTCACGACCAAAGCATGTTATACCCACCGTATTTTGATGGTCGTATAGTTTTGTATCCCAGCGATAACAATCTAAGGGATTACTTGTCTTGGCGACAGGTTGATACTCATATTAATAATCTTTACAATACCACTTTCTGGAATTTGGTGCAAAAGGGAAATTTAACAAACAGAGAAGTAAACGCAAAAGCACTAAAGTTGGTAGTTAAAATTGGAATTGTAGGCTCAAGAACGGTTATCTGGAACGTTCTCATCTGACAAAAATGAGATATTATTCAGCGAATTTGGAATTAATTACAATAATGAGCCTATTATGTTCAGGAAGGGCACAATATTATTGAGAAAAAAAATTAAGAATCCCCATCGTGACAAGTTACATCAGGTTGTTCTACCAATTTTTGAAGATATGATGCACGATGAATTTTGGATTCAGCACCCTGAAATCTTGTCGAATATACCTAATGAAGGTTACAATTTAGGAGAAGGGGATGTTCATGAATTGGTGGAGTTACAATTCCGATTAAATAAAAGACGAGATAAAAGCATTATTTCCATCACAGAATAATCAATAAGAAAAATTACAAACAGCTGCTAACAATTGTTTCCAGAAACTTAGCAAATAAACTAACATTTCATTGTACACTATTAGCCTTATATTCAGTTTATTAAAACACTGTATTTAAAAACATCAAAATTTTCTATTAATTTTAACACCTTGTCCTTATGTATTCTTGTTGATTTTTCTTTGTTCATGTACTTCCTATCTGTTGCACTCTCTTTTCTTATGCAATGATTGTGTGAATTTGTTCAGGTTTTTGGTCTTTCTTTCTGTACTGGTATTACTTTACATATTCTAGTCTTAATTCTTCGATTACAGTTTCATTTCGTATTCTTTGGGTTCTATTGATTTCTTTCTTTCCATGTAACTATTTCATGTCGTTTGTTGTGTTTAGCAATTCTTTCGTTTCCATATATTATTATCTGGCTTATTTCTTTTTTGCCTATAAATTAAAGTAGTTTCTGTGCATGTGGCCCAATTGGTAGCATTTTGGATTGAAGCATTTATCATCTTGCTCCTATACCTTTTTGTTTGTTTTTTATATCTAATTCATTGGATATATCCTTACATAAATGTCACTAATTAAAAAAAAAATTCCTAACCATTAACAGAACAGCTTATAGCTAAAACCATTGACAGGGCCAATTGCACCGTCAAAATTAAGTATCCCTTAAAGTTAAGCATAACTTAAATACCATAGCAACGATTGTCTTAATAATCATTGCCATAGATTTTAAGTTCGACTTAACTTTAAGCAAGGCTTAATTTTTTTGGTGCAACTGGGCTGAATAAATTTTTATTCAACGCTCAAACCAAAAATCGCGTTTTTGGAAGTGTCTTCAAAAAATGGTACGTGTAGGAAAAACGTTTCCCACAAAAGTTTTATTATTTTCCAATACAGAATAAGAGTAAGTACTCAATAAAAAGTATAGGTATCTATTTGAACAAATTGAAGTTACGGAGCAATTAGAATAGGTAGAGATGGAGACATCTACAGGTGCGCATTATGGCAAAACGCCGATTAACAATCAACTGACGTCGCCTGAATGTTGAACCGCACTCGATTTTAAAAATGAGTCATATGCAAGTATACGTGGGTCATAGTATACCAACTTTTCTTCTGCTTATGCAATAAGCCACGGAATGGACGGTGTATTATTTTTTCAACCGAAGTCATTTTATTTATTACAATGACGGCGATTTTTATAATCAGTGAATGTTAATAACAATAATAATATAATTTATTGTGAAAAACAAAGAAAATTTTCACAAATGGAACAGAGTTCGCCATAGGCGATCTTCCACTCTTCCAGTAAAACTGTGACATAATATGCTTAAATCAAAACAAAATTCTTTGACATGAGACGCATAACATGATCTAATTAACATAAATATACATGCTTGGAAAAGACTAAAAAATAATGAAAAAAAAATCAAAGAAAAAAAGAATTTATAAGGGGGGTTACCGGGTTCTCTTGTAATTCATTTAGGAATCAAATACTTCTTTACTGAGACCACAAAACAAACTACATTTTTAGGATAAGAATAATAGCAAAACATTCCACTGAGTCGCAAGAACGAATAATCCTTTATCACTCGTCGTCATAGCAGAAATCTTCTTCCCGCCGCTCCCTCCTCTCTCGAGCGGATCTCCGCAATTCCACCGCGGTATTTGTTACATTCTCCCCCTCTGGTTTCGAGAGAGTATCTGGCGAGGAACCAGCAGAAATCGGTGGGGCATCTTTAGGTCGACCTCGTTTTCGTAACGGCACTACAGGTACCTCATCTTCGGGTCCACGGAACGGAAAAAGTTGCGAGCAGTGGTACACTCCCATTGGTGTTGAGGGGTCGTCCACGTGGGCTACTTCATAGGACGTGGGGGATACTTCTTTGGTTATAGTATACGGTCCATCTCGTTTTGGGTTGAATTTGTTAGTGGTTTGTCCTTTCGAGCTACTCTTAGCATGAAGGGTTACTAAGACTCGATCTCCTGGTTTGTATTGAGGGTTTGGTCTTCTTCGCTGATCGGCATACTTCTTCTGGCGATCTTGTCGAATGTCATGATTGTCACGAGCTTCTTCTAATGTTAGGGCTAGTCTCTCTAGGTATGGCGAAATCTGTGGTAGAAAATTCTCAGATTGTACTACGGCCCTAAGGTCTGTATTGACGTCTATGGGACTTCTAAGCTCCCGTCCGAATGTTAGGAACGCAGGTGTAGAACCAGTAGTTTCACACTTACTCGAATTCATCGCAAATCTAATCGAAGGTAGTTTCTCGGCCCAAGTAGTATGATCTTCACCAACTAGGATTGCTAGACGTGGTTTCAAATCTCGATTTTTGCGCTCCACCATGTTAGCTTGAGGATGATACAGTGGAACCAAATTTTGTTTTATTCCCATGCAATGGCAGACTTTTTGCATCACGTGCGACACAAATTGCACTCCATTGTCCGAAATAATTCGTCGTGGAAGACCATATCTAAGGAAGACTTCATCTACTAATATTCGTGCACACTCCTCGGCAGTGGCTCTTTGTAATGGATAGAGTTCGACCCACTTTGACGCAGTGTCTTCTACTATATATATCCATTGTTGTCCCTGCTCGTTCTCAGGAAGGGGCCCAAATAGGTCAATTGCCAAAATTTCAAAACGTTGAGAATAAGTCGGTGTTTGGACCAATCCGGCAGGTCTTTGGTTACTAGATTTATAACGTTGGCACGATGGGCAATCCTTCACGTAAGTCTCAACAAACTTGCGCATTCCCGTAAAATAATATAATCTAGCAACTTTTTGCAAGGTGCGATCAATTCCATAGTGGCCCGCTGTAGGTGAATCATGCAACTCCATTAGTACTTGCTCTCTCTCATGACTGGGTACTACGAGTTGAGCTTCGTCCGCATCGGTAAGATCACTATATCGGTATAAAACACCCTGGGTCATTATGTAGCCACGAGCTGTCCATACGCTATAGTCGTCGTTCTTAGAATCCTCGAAGCTATCCATAATTCTCTTGAGTTCGGGATCTTTCTGTTGTTCTAGTCTCAAATCAGTTGCTGATCGATGGGGTAGATCTACCTCGACAGTACAGATTTCACATTCGTTCGCTTCTTTGTGATTGCAATTCGGTCTGGATAACATATCAGCGACCACATTTTGTCGTCCTGGACTGTATTCAAATTTTAGGTTATATCCCTGTATGGTTAACGCCCAACGGGCTAATCTACCTGTTGGCGTTTTAAGGCTCATAAGCCATTTTAAAGGCTGATGATCAGTAATGACAATGACTGACGAATTATCTAGGTAGCCTCTAAACTTTCCCAGACTCCATACCACCGCAAGAGCCTCTCTTTCCACGGTCGAGTAATTTTTCTCTGCTTGCGTCAATAGTCTACTCGCATATTCAACAGGATGTTCTTCGTCTCCTTCACCCTGCAGCAATACTGCGCCGAGAGCATAAGATGACGCATCAGTTCGCAGCCTATATGGTTTGGTACCATCATTTTGTCGTAGCACAGGAGCCGTAATAAGAGCCGTTTTCAGCGCTTCAAAAGATGCTTGCTGATCCGGTCCCCAGGTCCATGAGCTTCTCTTTTTCAACAAGTTGGATAGCGGTCGAGCTACCTCCGCAAACTTATCGATAAACCTACGATACCAACTGCAGGTCTGGAGAAAAGATTGTACCTGTTTAACGTTAGCTGGCGGTAATCTGTCACTAATGGCTGCAGTTTTTCCAGGGTCGACTTGTATACCCTCTCGAGTTAAAACGTGCCCGAGGTATTTTACCTGCGCACTAGCGAATAGGCATTTGTCCCGATTAACGCGCAACTGGTACATTTTAAGACGATTGAGCACAATTTTCAAATCAGTCAAATGTTCAGAAAAAGTTTCCGACAGAACTATCAAATCGTCCAAATAGGCGAGCACTAGGACATTCGGGAGTCCATTTCGGAACCGGTCTATAAGTCTTTGGAACGTCGCGGGAGCATTTTTTAGGCCAAACGGCATTGTCAAGTAGCGAAAAGTCCCGAAAGGGGTCACGAACGCGGTTTTGTCACGATGTGGCTCGAACACTTTCACTTGATGATAGCCTGCACGTAAATCCAGTGTAGACATGTAGTACGTCTGCTTGGTCATATGGAGTAAATCGTCCATTCTTGGCAATGGGTACGAATCTGTGACGGTTTTGGAGTTTAGGACACGGTAATCTACACACAGCCTTGTTCCACCATCTTTCTTCGGAACGAGAACCACGGGAGCACTCCATGGCGACTCGCATTCTTCAATTACCTTGGAGTCCAGTAGTCGGTCCAGTTCGGTCTTTAGCTTCTCTCTGTTTGCTTGCGTCATCCGGTATGCTGGTAACGATGCTGGAGCTGCATTGCCAGTCTCAATCCTGTGTTCAGCATATGGAGTCGGCTCTCCCCCTAGAGAGAAAACATCCTGATGTTCTCCAATTAATTTTGACAATGATTCTCGCTGCTCACTGGTAAGCATGGTGCCTTCATCGTCTCTTAGAAATTCTATTGTTGACATTTCAATGACAGTCGTAGTAGCTTCAAAGTCTAGCAGGAATGTCTTATCCGGTTGATCGGTGAAGTACCAAACTCGCTGGCCTATGTCCAAAGCGACATTGGCGCTGGCCAAGAAATCAATTCCCAGCAGTGTTTTGTCTGCTTCCGGTAACTCAATGAAAGTGGTCGGAATGCTACGATCCTGTAGGAGTACGTTGACCTTAGTAACACGAGTTTGAAGTTCTTTGAACGTACCGTCCGCTAATTTTATTGTTACAGGGGCGGCGGAAAACTCTACCCCTTTTGACATTAACGCGTCGCAGAGTGATTTGCTGGCAACACTTTGTTTGGCAGCAGTGTCTATTAGTCCAGTTCCCTTCAACCCACTTATGCTAATCGTGAACAACGGGCGCGGTTTGGGATTTATTTTGGGTTCACTATTGTCTAAAGAGCAAAAATCCAGAGAAGCTGCAGTATTTGAGCACGAGGGACAATTTGAGCGTATATATCCGGATTTGCCGCAACCAAAGCAAGAAACGGTCGATCCAGAACTCGAAACCCTCCCAGTGTTGCCCTTCTGTACCGTTGAGGAGCTAGAGGT